TTGTGAGAAAATATGCCCCAAAATACATATTCAGTGTTAATATATATATTTATATATTAACTTCCCTTTATAGGGAAGTTTTTAATGTTTGTTGTTTTCCCGTGGTCTCATAATTGTTGGAAGCTGCCCAGAGTGGCTGGGGCAACCCAGTTAGATGGGTGATTTATTATTATTAATATTATTATTATTATCATCATCATCATCATCAACCACCACCTCCCACAGCTCCTCCAACCCCCTTCTGCCTACCTGCCAAACCCCACCCCTCACAGTTCACCCCCAAACTCTCCCATCGCCTCACAGCCACCCCCAGTCCCAAGATCCTCCCTGTTGCTGCCACCACTGGCAAAAGGGAGGGGAAGGAAGAGACGTCGTTATCCCTCCTGCCCCCCATAGAAGGAAGTGTGTATTTTAAAGGGGGAGATGGAGGGCATGGGACCTCACACCTGCCCTCTCTTCCCCTGCCGGACACGGACCCACTCGCACGCCACGTCCCACAGAAGGTTGCCTGTGAGGCAATAAAGATTTCTCATCCCTTGCTCTAAGAGCCTGGGGAAATGGAGCAAGGCCCCCATTGTTGACCTGAGCAGGAAGGCACATGTGGAATAAGGTGGCCCTTCAAGATTGCCTCCGTTGTAAAGATCTCAATTACATTTGTGCAAAGGATAGCACTGCTTATTTTAAATTACTTCCAGCGCTGCAAATCTGAAAAGAAACTTCCTCCAATTTCATCAGGCACTTCCTCTTTGATTTTTCTTTTTTCTTTTAAGCATACATTAATGCCAAATCCAGCTTGAAAAGGGTTAAGAAACAAAGGAATATCCTTAAGCCAGCAAAAGCCTTCTGGGTCAGAAAAGGGATTTTGTAACCATAGTCTAGATTCATGCAAGCATTTATTTCCCACAGTAATGAGCTGGATGTTAATCATAATTTTGTGGGGCTCTCTATTAATGTGGTCAGTGCTGTCTGCTTCTAATAATGTAACCAGAATGAAAACCAACCATAGTAATTACTTTCTTTTACAGCAGCAGCATTCAACATTTCTGTCTGTGAAACCATTTCCACATTGTTGAGGGATCCATGCTTCTCAGCCATTGCACACGGAATCTGGGACATGCCTGAGGGCGCATGCATGCTCAGCTAATAAGAACATACAAAAAATCCTGCCGGATCAGGACTACTCCATCTACTCCAAAATCTTGTTCTCACAGTGGCCTCACATGTGTCTTTTTTTCACAAAGGGCAGCCCTCTATTTGCAAGGACAAACAGCTATCTGACTTTTAGAAGTCATCTGAAGGCAGCTCTGTATCAGGAAAATGCTTATTGTCTGATGTTTTACAATTTTTTATATACAGTATGCTGTAAGCCGCCCAGAGTGGCTGGTGAAACCCAGCCAGATGTGCAGGGTATAAATAATAAAAACGATGATGATGATGATGATGATGTCTGGTTCATACAGCACATTACAGTAGTCCAGGTGGGAGGTCACCAGAGCATGGACAACTGAGGTCAGGCCCAATCCATAAAATGACCATAGCTATTGAATCAACCCAGGCTGGGCATAAGAAGCCACATGAGACTCTGCGACAAGGTGGAATGCTGGAGTATTAGGATAGGTCCAATTACCTGCTGAAACCCTTTCGTGTACAGTGAGCAGTGTTTAGCTAGTGAAACTTGGTTAGAGAGTACTGTAGACTTTACCTGTTGCCATCACAAGGAGCAGGACATGAGGACAATAGCCCTCTCGTGCTGTTGACAGCAGCTGGTATCCCCTAAGGTAAAGGTAAAGGGACCCTTGACTATTAGGTCCAGTTGTGACCGACTCTGGGGTTGCGGCGCTCATCTTGCTTTACTGGCTGAGGGAGCCGGCGTACAGCTTCCGGGTCATGTGGCCAGCATGACTAAGCGGCTTCTGGCGAACCAGAGCAGCGCACGGAAACGCCGCTTACCTTCCCGCCGGAGCGGTACCTATTTATCTACTTGCACTTTGACATGCTAGGTTGGCAGGAGCTGGGACAGAGCAACGGGAGCTCACCCCGTCGCGGGGATTCGAACCACAAACCTTCTGATCGGCAAATCCTAGGCTCTGTGGTATAACCCACAACGCCACTAGCGTCCCTCTGGTATCCCCTAGCATACTGTAATTCCCAATTAGCTAAGTACTGCAGACCCCATTTTTCAAAAGCCAAGCTATGGAAATTTTGGAAATTTTGATATCTGTACGGTAGTTTATGTTATGAGAATGGCTCCACGGACCCCCTAGGTGAGTTGCACACACACCCTGGGTTCCATGGACAACCAATTGTGAACCAGTGTCCCAATATATTGCCTCTGAAATTGGAGGCTGCAGGCAAACTGTAGGCCAGCGATGGGGATCCTCATGCCTTGGAGCCAAAGGTGGCCCCACAAGCCTTTCTGTCTGGCACTTGGGACTTCTGCCAAGCCACACTCCCAACAGGTCCTTCTTTGCACCCTTCCGTGAGGGTTTATTGGTTCCTTGCCTTCTGAAAATGCCTCTTGCCTGTCTGGATTAAAGAGAGGGAAGTGTGGGAGTGTTTGTAGAAACTAGCCCATTGTACTAAAATAAATACTATACTTGCATTCATTGCTCCACCCACTTTTGCCTCTGCCCCACCCACCAATTGCATGTGTTCACTGGAAGATGGCCCAGAAGCCAACACAGCCCTCAGGTTGAAAAGTTTCCCTAGCCCTCCTGTAGGCTGGGCTTTTGTGGTGTCAGAATATTGTATTTTGAATTTTTATAGCACTCTATATCAGAGGTCTCAGTAACCCTCAAAGGACAATTAACTATTGCAGTGAATTAGACAGTGAACTTATCAAAGTTAGATCCAGAGTGTCTGCAAAAACAGGCCTTTGAATTTCATCTAATGTGTAGTGGGGAAGATTTTCCATGAAACACAGGAAGTTGCCTTTCATAAAATCAGATCTTTACTTTGCCTAGCCCTGCATGGTTTACACTGGCTGGCAGGAGGTTTCTGGTTTCACTTGCATACCCTCCAACATTTCTCCGATGAAAATAGGGACATCCTAGTCAATCATAATCATAATTTATTATTTAAACCCCAGCCATCTGACTGGATTGTCCCAGCCACTTTAGGTGGCTTCCAACATATATAAAAACAGAATGCCTGCAGATGTATTCTAAAGGTCGTATAGTTACTTATCTCCTTGGCTCGGGAGCTGCATAACTCTATACCCTCTGATGAAAATAAGGAGGTCTTAAGGAAAAGCGGGACATTCTGTGATCATATCAGAAACTGGGATGGCTTCTGTAAATCTGGGACTGTCCCTGGGAAATAGGGACACTTGGAGGGTCTGCACTTGCGTTTTTGCTCAGCTCTACAAACTGAGAATTGAAACTGGGTTCCTTTGTATGCAAGTCTCTATGCTTACCTGCTGATCTATGGCCTCTTCCTAAGTGTGTCCCTGAAATACAAATTTCTCTGTAGAGCTTGGTTGCCTGGAATGCTAAGGATCACAGGAGCTGTTAGGCCAGACAGACCTACACACCAATGGTCTGACTTGGCATAAAAGCTCTTCATACAAGAGGAAGGGATGATCCTTCCTAAAATCAAACCACTTAGCTTATATTCTAATCTGAAAAGTACTTAAACAGGACTGAGGCAAAAACTACCCAGTTTTTCAGATGTTTTCACAGTATGTTTAAAACCAGCCCCCTACTTTCTCAGTTAATTTTTTGGCATTTTTTTTTATATAAAAGCAAAATCCAACAGCCTATTTATTTAGATTGCAATGACATGTGCTTTCATTCTTAATTGACTTCACTTGCCCTCAGAGACATCATTACATAGCCAGATCTGATTGTTTATGCAGCCTCGTTGACATCATCCCATTCACTCCATATTCCGATAGAGTGGGATCACCCAGGCAATTAATCCAGGAAGGAAAATGACGGCTCCGAGTGAAGAGAATCAGGGGGGAAAGAGAAGTATTCACACAAAGTTTTAAGGAAATATATATATCCCACAGAATCATAATTTTTCGACCAGAAAACCAAAATGGAAGAAAGTGTGGTTGAGCCTTAGTACTCAGCATAAAAGACCTAACGCAGCCTTGAATGTTTGTACAGTAACCACAGCAGCAAGATCCTGGCCAGCTCTGGGATACTTTTAAGTGTTTAATAACAGCAATAATAACAAATTGGGTCAGGTTCTAAGTCAGCAAGAGGGGGCAAAAATAGAGTTGCTTTTTGATGCAGCAGCGAGACAAGCCATAAAATGTGGTAGCTCTTGCCAGCTCCTTACTGTACACAGCAGTGCCAGATGCCGTGTTATAGGGAGCTGAAGCATGGGCAGCAGCTGCGCTGAATATAATGGTGCTCTTTTTATTTAGGTCCCGGATGTTGTTGGACAACAACTCCCATCATCCTCAGCCAGCTTAGCCAATAGCTAGGGGTGATGGGAATTGTAGTCTTACATCAACTGGGGACCCAAGGTTGGAAGAATGCTCGAATAGAGCATGCTCTGGGTTGAGAGAAGCAAGAGGATAGGGAGTAAATATATTTTTTTAACGAAACCAGGGAAGAGTCAGAATGGTATTACATGCACAGTGCAGCTGTGATACTTGCCTACTGATAAGCAGAGCTTCCATTACATCTGCCACAAGATGCCTCCCAAAGCAGCTGCTTGAGGTTACTCAGTGGTGAAGAGACAGCATCCTAAGCAATCCCAGACACTTCTTATTGCTACTTCACATACTGAAGGGCAGGGCAGTGTGTGTGAAGTTTCTAAAGAACCAAAATAATCAGTGCAATTTTGACGGTGGTTGAAATTAGTGCAATTTGGAAAGGTTCAGACTGTCATGTTGATTCAAAATGGCGTCTAGTTGTATCCAAACATGGATGAAAATCTGTTCCTTGATCTCAGGAACCATCATGCAACATTTGGTTACGATATCTTAAAAGGTGTCCACATGCAGAGCTAACAAACAACTTTGCAAAATATATGGTAGAGAATCTGGGGTGTCTGGCACAAAGAATGCATCCACAGCTCTTAATGACAAAGTTTTCGAAATGCTTATGTGATTTTTATTATTGCATTTTTACTTTGGTTGTAAATTGCTTTGGGACTTTTTGTAATGGGAAGCAAAATCTAGGTGTAACAAACCTAATTGTAGGAATGATCCCTGGCATCAAAAAGATGCTTTGAATAATTCCTCACATCAGCATCAGGTCCTCACCCCCTTCTCCCCCTTGCCTGTTATAGCAAGTATCAGTTCTGTCAACAAAAAGTCCTGGAGCGTTCCCTCCTGTGATCATGGATCCAAGCTGAATGGACCCTGCTTTTTAAAAAAACAAACTTTTAGCAAAAACCTGCCTGTGCATTCATTTTCATTTGCCTGTAGTTATTTTCAGAATCTGGAGTGTGTGATAAAGCAGGCCTTTATTTAAGGATGCTTGCTTGTCCCCATAGGCTGGTAAATATATGCTGTTTTATGTGGTCTCTGCCTTTGTTGTATTTCATGACACTCTGATCTTAAATTGCTTTTGAGCTGCCCTGAACATTGCATCGGCAGTAGAACAGCAGGGCAGAAATCTTTTTTAAAAAATAACCTTTGTGCCTTGCTTATGAACTTCAGAGGCATATGACTACCCACTAGAGTAGACGGGGCTTTGGTCTGATCCCATGAGACAGTTCTTAAGCCCAGAAAGCAAAACGAGGGCTCCCCAAACCCTTCTCACTGTATTGAAACAGGCAGTTTGGAAGATTTCAAATACTGGGGAGCCTGTAGCACTTTCTACCAGTTCTAGAACAAGGTGCAGCACCTTTGTTCGTTATGAAGAGTTCCATAATTTTATTTAGCTCTCTGGATGCAATGAACTATCACACAGGTACAGCTGGAGCCTAAAGGCAGCATTCAGAGGTAAAAAGGAACAAAATCAAGACAGTCCAACAAACTCTGAAGTGCAATGCTCAGACAAAGAGTAACTTGGGAGTACAAGTCATCCTGTAAACAAGCACACACAGAAAGGATGGTCCTCAGGTTCATAATGAAGTGGTATTGCCAAGAGAAAAATATTGCTTCCATGGAATGACTCTTACAGGAATTGCTGTAAATGGCACACATGGGAGACTATAATGAAAATGGTCATTGTATACAACTTACGTAGGTCACCACTAGGGCTGCCACTATTTTGCAGGCAGGATTCAATCACATATTAGAAATTTAGGTTTATGCAATTAAAGTGCTCTGGCGCAACCAATCCACTTTTAAATAAAGACTTTCTACCGTTAGGAAAGTGATAGGGAAGTGAACTGATTGTCCCCGCAAACAAACCAGAATGAATATTCAATAAAGAGTGAACATCATATAACCTTTGTGCAAGCAAAATGAAGATCAATGCTCAATAAATAGGTTACCTGGGCGAACCCTTTGGGGCTTGATGGTTAACTATAGCAGACTCCTGGACAGTGGCAAAAAAGGAGTGAATGATATGGATGACCCATTCAGAAAGACAGTCTTTAATTGTAAGCAGTTACACTGACCACTTACAATTTCATGGCTACAAAATCTAATGTAGAACTTGCCCAGAATGGCACAAGAATGATTAAGTCTTGCAACAAAGCTTTCTGTATTGTTCAGCATTGGACAGAAACAACCCAACTTCAGTCAAGCGTCAGCTAGGCACAGTAGCTAGAGTGTTCAGCAGACTTGGGAGGACTGAGATCTAACACCCTAGTTTGGGCCCAAAACTCTATAAGTAGTCTTGAATAAATATTCATTTCAGAGTCACTTGCAATCACAATGTGTGTGTATGTTTAAAAAAGGTAAAGGACTATTGCCATAACCCACCTGAGTCCTTGTGAGAGAAGTCTAAAGAAAGCTTATCAATTCAAATTATACAGCAGCAAATCTCAAGGCTCTTCTCATGTTTCCTGGGGAGCCCTTGAGATAGCTCCTTCCTTTGTAGTATTCAGGTAATACCAGAAAAATTGAGGCCATGTGACTGAAAGAGATCAGGGTGGAAAGGAACTTGTCTGCCCCTTGAGCAACAGCATCACATCCATCCCTGCTTTCTTAAGATCTAAAAAAAAAAATTAAAAATCCCTTATGTTGCTGTGCACAAGTGCAGAACCCATGTGTGTGACTACACAGAAGCCATGAAGAACAATCCCAGTTTCTAAGAGGAAAACACAGGTGGTGGGCTGCTCCCATGTGACAGATTCCATCTGATGTTACCTGAGGTAGCGGGAAGACAATATTGGGTAACACTTCAAAGTTTTTACAAGAACAGTCAAAGGTAAATAAACATTTAAAGATGGAAAAGGGTCATGCAGGTAACATGACATATGGTCTTTTACACAAGAAAAAGCAAGGGGAGGGAGTAATCACACTCATATGTCAATGAAAGACCCCCTGCTGGTGATTTCAGCCCCCTTATCAGTGCCCAAAGCTCTACTAAAGAAAAAAACAAGTCCAATTCAAAATTTAGCATAAAATGGTCCTGGTTTTAATGGTCCTCATTGTTTTAATGAGTTAATTTGGTTGTGATAGTCATGCTAGTTGTTTCAGCCTTCAAAAAGTGGAAAGGGGAGGTTGTGGTAGCTGGCAACTATTTTTTGTTGGGGGGGGGGAGTCGAAATGTAACAACAGGTTTACCTAGAACATTTACAGTTGCAGAAGATTAGACAGTACAAACTCTTATTTCCTAGAATATCCACAGATCTGTCAGGTCAAGTAAAAGTTGGCACCAGTTGTCGAGTCAGTTTGAGGACTTCTATTTCCTCAAAGATTGGTTCACACATGCACATGTACATCACTTGGTTTTTCTACACTTGATTGTGGTTGGAAACCAGCAGTTCATAGAGTGAACTGACTCAGCTGAAGAACAGCACTGTGTTTTGGGTGGTGTAAGGCAATGTGGAGGCTTTTATCTGTGGTGTTTTATCTCTGATACATGAATGTAAGACAGAACTTGTTAATGCAGTCAGTACTGAACAGGTACATGTGAACTTATCATTAAATTTCAGAATTTCCAATGGTCACCCTCAACATGAAGCTTTCAGATCAAGGAACTGTTCTCTTGAGTCATGCCTGTCATAACACTGTATAACATACAAAAATATGACAGACATATATATGGGGAGGAAACACGTCATCAGTGAGCTGCTCACAATCCTGGAAGACACTTCAAATCTTTTATCCAAGATAATCATATTTAAATGAATGCTTCAAAAGAAAGCAAAGTCAGCTCTACGTGGATCCCCTTCCTGCATGCGTGAAATTATACTTATTTTGCTGACATATTTGCACAAAGATCTGTTGTGAAAGGGGGGAAGAGCAACAAACTCTCAATCTCTCTTGCTCTGCCCCCTCCTCACACCAATACTGCCCAGCAAGATGTCTCCTGACCAACTGCATAACAACACATTCCAGGACAGACAAAGGAAATTGACTGTAATGGGCTAAAGCATTTACAGGAAATGACTTTGGGAGAAAAGGGGCAGAATTATCAAAGAATCAAAACAAATATAAAAGGAGGCACACATTCAGCATATTAGTTAAGAAGTTAGATGACATTTGCATTCTAGCTCCTCAGAGTCTCTAGGCCAACTTAGAATTTTTAGAGGCACACCAAAAGTTTTAAATGTACACTTAATAATGTAAAATCTGATTGATACTGACAGAGGCTGTTGGCCTGGTCAGCCGTTCAGGAAGCCACACTGGATGTAGTTCCTTGTTTGGTGCACACTTTGTGGCAAACCCTGCTTTGCCTCTGTACAGAATAGTCTTCACTGTTTCAATTAGAGAAAGAACCCCAGTTCCTTCTTATGGTCCATCACAAAAAGCCAAGCCCTTTACTACAAACCTATCAATGATCCCAAATTTTGCATTTTCATCAGACGATCAATATTTGCAGACAAATTTAGTCTTCTAGCCACATAGAGTTGAGGGGAAGCTTAAGCACAAACTGAACAAGGGAATCAAGGAAATGTGTGTCTTAATTCAAACCCTTAATTAAACCACCTTCCCTTACAGTTTCTTAAGTGATGAATGGCTTTAGGTGATTAAATGTGACAGGCATGAAGAGCTGGGGCTGTTTTTGAAAAATGCCTAGTACATCCCTATCTCATAAGGAAGCTCCTTCCTCACCTTCAGGTTGTTCGTCCCTCAAACCAGATTTTTGATGCTTCTTCCGAAAGATACAAAACTCATTATCTTTGCTTAGTGCTTAACCCTGTGTTCCTCAAGGTATACCTATGTGAAACAGTTCTGGGAAAGAGAATCAACGTTTTTCCTGAACACTGAAAACCACATCTCACAATATATTTTGTGCCTGGGTACCAATGCATCAGTTATGAAGGTTGCGTGCATGCTTCAAATGTGGCTTTCCCCTTGTAAACAAACCAGCGAGGTGGTTTGATTCTTGCCCACTTGTCACTTATGTGTATTTTAAAAAGGGAAAGCTGTACTTGAAATGTGCACTGCACATGTCTTTCACAATCAACTTGGCATACATGTATTTTGTATTAATTGGTACATGCAAACAGAAAATTCCTCACTAGATACAGCCATCAAGTGTGACTGGAGAACTGGTAAGGCTCAAACACCAAGTTCCCTCAGTAACAAACATCTGAAGAAAGACATGAGCACCCAGTATTATGGCATGGGAAACATATGCTACAACAATGGGCAGTGGGAGATGAAGGAGAATGAGTACCAGGGATAGGAAAGTGGTAGTCCAGAAACTCAATCCAGTCTCCATCAGATGCCTGGTTTCTTAAGACACTTCTTCCCTTTATGCAAGGTAAGCTATATGAACATAGGCTCATTGTTCTGTGCCACTCCTGTCTACCTGACCATTTTTCTCATGTTCTGCTCACCAATGCCTAGTTCCAATTCATTTCTGATGTTACGGGAGGCTGGCCTTTTAAACCTAAGATTTATTTATTTTTGTGAGCACTCAGTTGCTGGATACAACCTGAGTGATGCAGCCAATAAAAATAGTTATTTAAAGCGTAAGTTTTCACCACAGGCATGGCTGGAAAACCTCATTCTTGTCAAAGACAGATGACAATATAAAGAAACACTGCTTGCAAAGACCACTGTTTGATTACCAATACATCAATAAATCCACAAGAGCAATGGGATAGTTCTAGATCTGAATATGCCAGGCCAGGTACATCATTGCTACATCTACAAACTGTCCCCCCCACAAATAATTACAATGCCTCCATTAAAAGCAATAGCTTCCAAACTGTTCTGGAGACACCTTGGGCTCATAATAAGATTGAGCCTGGCAAACCAGCTTCCCTGAAAAAGAGAATAGTGAGACCCAACATGTCAGGTTGCAGGCTCAAAAAGTCAGAAGGGCTATGCTCCAGGACCTACTGCAACGCACAATGGATTCCTTGGTAGACAGGGCGACACAGAAAGGATTCCCTCAAGGCAGATAGTTTGAAAACCACTGCATTAATGAACCCCAAGTATAAATCTAAAGAAACATTTTCCATGGGAAGGTCTGCTTTCTGGTAACAGCTGTGAACATAAAGGTTATTCTTGATAACTCCAAGATAAATTATTACCCTGGACACATACAGATGAACTCAGGAAAGCTGAAAGGTTTGCGTAGCCAACGGTGTGAAGTTTGTGACTGACAAAATACAGCCATGATTTCACCAGAGGAAAGCAAGATTTGAAGTGTGCCTATTAAATGTCCTTCCTTAAAATAAAATAAAAAAATGCACTATGCACTCCAAAATTATTTGTTCAGGCAATCCATATACAACAGAAGGCACTGTTATCCATAGGACCCCTTCAATTTCACATGGCAAAGACCTGAGAAGTGCAACTCAATCCAATTCCATACAGCTGCTTCCCCATTTCATTGGGAAGAGCAGGAACAGAGACGTTCTTCAGTCCAACAACTTAGAAAAATACCACAAGAATTTATACATTACAGTAGCTGGTTAGAAAGAGTGTCCTAATGAGAGGAAAGAGGGTTGACCGCTGCCTTTCCCAAAGGGAAATCATCTTTCAGAGCACTCCATTACCTTCCCTTGTCTGCTCACAAGTCACAAATGTGTGTTGCTGTTTTAATAAAATGCAATAATGAAATATTCTGCAGAGTCCCTTAAGCTTTCGTCTTTTCCTCCTTCAGTTGCTCCCTGGAGGATTGCCAAAGTTAAATGAAGAGACCAGTCCTTTGTTATCAAATGTGAAGCCCGTTTGCTGCTCTATCCTCTTTGATTCTAGAATTAAAAAGAAATAAGTGTAAGAGACAGAAAGAAAGTATGTTTTTTTTAAAGCACTAATGAACCTCCTTCAAAATGCATGCATTTATTTTCTTAAAAGATTGAAATTTCTGAAGTACCACCAAGGCGGGGGGAACAAAATAATCTTGCAGATTTGTATACCTCTATATTGTCCCTCCACTACTGGAGATGGGTAATATTCTGTAGTGGAAAGGGAAAAATACTGAGCCCAATAGAAGAACACCCACTCAAGAACACCCATTTCCACAGTTTGCTTGTACGGACAAGCAGGTAATATATAGGTGTATCATACAAGTAGAAATAATCTATTCCTGTATAATTCATTTGGTTAAGCTTCCTGTCCTAATAACGGTGGGAAATGCAGAGACTGTTTAGGGAGTCTCTAAACTCAATTTGTGTGCAACTAATTCTCTGTAGACAGGGACAGGGTGGCGCTGTGGGTAAAACCTCAGCGCCTAGGACTTGCCGATCGCATGGTCGGCGGTTCGAATCCCCGCGGCGGGGTGAGCTCCCGTCGTTCGGTCCCAGCTCCTGCCCACCTAGCAGTTCAAAAGCACCCTTAAGTGCAAGTAGATAAATAGGTACCGCTTTATAGCGGGAAGATAAACGGCGTTTGCGTGTGCTGCGCTGGTGCAGGCTCGCCAGAGCACCTTCGTCACGCTGGCCGGAAGTGTCTTTGGACAGCGCTGGCCCCCGGCCTCTTAAGCGAGATGGGCGCGCAACCCCAGAGTCGGTCACGACTGGCCCATACAGGCAGGGGTACCTTTACCTTTACCTTTAATTCTCTGTAGAGATCACTGGTCCTACATACCAAGTGACAATTGTTAACCATGTAAAGTGGACCTCTAACAAGGCCTAACAAAGGAACATAGACAGCTACTTTATGCTGAGTCAGGACATTGGTCCTTCTAGCGCTGTGCCATCTACTTTGTCTAGCAGCTCTCTAGAGTGGCAAGCAGAGGTTCCTATCATTACCTACCAATCTAATCCTTCGAACTGGGGATGCCAGGGACAAAACAAGGAGCCTAAATTTGAAGCATGTGCTGTGTCACTGAGCTATGGTTCCAAGAACTATGTTGATAGATTATTTATTGTGGCAATATATAGAAAGCAACAAATGCTTTTTTGTAATTTAATCTCAGTGGACTTTTAAAACTCGCTGCATAACTCCATTTCTACTTCTCTCACCAAAGTTTCTTTGTCCTTTCTTACTGAAACAGAGAAAGTTGGGAGGGCAGAAGAAGAGCTATGCTTGCACAGTCTCCTCTGAGTTGTGCTTCTCCATCCTATACATACTGCTGCTGTCTGCGGTGTCTGTTTCATATTTATTGCCTCCAATTTCTCTCTCACCAAATGTTCCCTTGCACTTCTCTATCTTCGTCTTCTCTACAGGGAAGATAAGGACCAGTGAGAATTCTCTCTTTTGATCTGAAGACTTATCTGTCCCTCTTAAAAGGATAGAAGCCCTTGTGAACTGAAGATACCTCCCCTCCTCCAAAGAGTATCCAGTACTCAAAGGCTGCTTACAATGAGCAAAAGCAAGCAAAATCTATTGAATGTGCTTCTCTCTTTGTGCAATCAGAATAATACAAACATTAAGACTTGTTTTTTTATTATTTTAAACTTGAGGAAGCTTGAATTACTTGACATGGTTGCAAATATTAAAATTCTTATTTGTGCACTGTACAATTCATGCTTCTACAGACATCCTTGCAACAGAGTAAATAAACAGACTCACCTGCTGAACTCCTCCGGTGTTCAGCTAATGCACAGATGCCCTGCAGTTGAGTCTTCTGATCATTGCTGAGTGGTGCTGTCAGCAAGTGGTACCAGGCTGCATCTCGGCTCTGTATCGCTATCAACACAGAAATAATGGTCTTTCTTTTAAGAAAGTTTCAGAAAGAAAAGGCAGATACACAACCCACCACAACCTTCCTCCATTATCATTAAAGCAACCCTTTTCACAAGTAGAAATCTTCTACCTTTGGCTTCAGTATATTGAGCTGAAATATCTGTTCCAGTGAGCAAAGACTGTACTGACATACTTGGCAACTTATCTCTGATGACAAACTGGGAAGACAAGTAGCTGCCTTATATTAAGTTAAACCATTGGTCCATCTAGCTCAGTATTATCTATGCTGACCGCCAGTGGCTGTCCAGGGTTTTAGGCAAGGATCTTTTCCTAACCTTACCTGGAGATACCAGGGATTGAGTCTGGGACCTTCTGTTTTCAAAATACTTGCTCTATCACTCAGCTACAGCCCTTCCCCTAAGCTTGTTGGTTTTAATCATCCCACCCCAGTAAGCATTAATTTACCTATCATCTTTGTATCCTGCCCTTGTTCTGAGAATCTCAAGGACGCCTGATGAAGCAATAACTCATTTTGTTTTCAAAGTACATTTGTACCTTGGTTCTCAAACTTAATCCGTTCCGATAGTCTGTTTGACTCCCCAAACTGTTCAAAAACCAAGATGCGGCTTCCAAAGCTTCCTGCACTCAAGTGGAAGCCGCATCAGACGTTCAGCTTCCAAAAAAAATTTGTAAACCGGAACACTTACTTCTGGGTTTGTGGCATTCAGGAGCCAATTTGTTCAACAACTAAGCCATTTGAGAAACAAGGTACCACTGTAATCCAGGGAGGTAAGTTAGGCTGAGAGAGAGTTGCCCAAAGCCAACATCTGAATGTCATGGCCAAAGAGGATTTGAACCAGAGTTCTGACTGCCAAAGCCAACATTACAATCTGCCTGAATAAAATAGACTTGTGTACATCTGAATCTGGGACATTTGGCATAAAAATATGTTTTTTTACCACTTGACTATGATCCTTCTGACGATGGGAGAAAGTTATGAGTTAGGCTATGCTAATAAAATCAGGGTTAGGCTATGCTAACCCTTCCCAGAAAAACAGCTTGAGATTGCAATTCTCTTTCTGAAATGCAAGAAGAAAACAAAGAGTTTTCCAGCTTAGCAGGGTTCCTCTATCTTCTGTTCAACTAGTGTTTCACAGAATCCTTGTAGGATACAGAGTGCATGTTTTGGACTGAAAGTTGGCCAATAAGCTGACTGAATGTTGTGCTCCAAAGATGACAATGAATCTGACAAAGACTTTGTAGCCTTGGAGAAGACAAAAGACATTTGTGGGTTTTGTTGCTATTGCTCTAGGTTTCAGATGTGTGTACCTAGTAGTGCCTGTGTAAAGAACTGGTATTCATCCACACCATCATCCAGGTCGATAGGGGTGCTGAAACCTTCTAAAGCAGTTTCTTCCAGTGCATCATCATCCCAGTCATCATCATCATCATCATCTTCATCTCCTGCATCACCGCCACCACCTGTATGGTTTTCCTGCATCTCCTGGCTGACTTCATTGGCCTCCTCTTCATCACTTGGAATCTCTTCTGTTAAAAAGTTTATTTTTATAGAAGGCATGTCACAATATATTCAGGATTTAATGGGGCGCTTTGGGGGGGGAGCAAAAAATATTCTAAATTTCCTGAACAACTGGCCCCAGTGCTATCCCATAAATGAGCGATTGCATTTCACCTATGTAGAATAAGGAAAGCACTACACTCAGGCAAACATTAAACCATCATCCTTCTAGGAGGTGGCCCAATTCTCAGAGAGGGTTATTCTGCAACGCAATATGGGAATGTAAAGTACTTCTGAATTTTTTTTAAATATGCAGTCCCTCCCTCTCAAGGAAGCTGAAAGACATTATGACAGGTATTTTTGCTAGTAACAAATAGAAAAATGATAGCTGATGAAACAGTATTGCTATAGCAACCATCTCTCCCCTGCCCTCTCCAAATCCATTTCCAATGAAATGCACACATGTATATTAATTATTTTACCATTATCTTCTGCATCATTCTTTTCAGATTTAGCATGTTCTTCATGTTCCGTATGCTGCCTGGTGGCACACAATTGTTTCAGTCCCAGGAAGAGAAGGAGGACCGACGGAACAATCTGAGCCGCCACGGCATCTACTGCGGGAGGTCGGTTGGGCAGCCCCATCAAAATGCTCAGCCCTATGATGCACATCTTCCTGTCATGGAGGCTAAACACACATGCACACAAATGAGTGAGAATCTCCCATTTTTATTTATTACAGGTTTATTTAAAACCCCTTCACGATGAGATCTCAGACCACGTTACAACAATTTATAGTCGCACAATTTAAAACCAGGTAAAAGAAATTAAACAAGAAACCAATACAGTTTAAATCAGAAAACAGAGATGTGTATATAAACACATCTCAGCTGTCAAAGGCTGAGGATTACTTTCAGAGCAGCCTGGGAGGCTCTGCTCTGGTTCCCAATCACTCTCAGAGGTGGCAGCATAACAACCAAATAGGCTCTCTGAAAGAGGCCTCCCTGTCTTGGGTAGTAGATGAGGACAACCCATACGAGGATGCTTCCTTTACATAGGCCCAATACTGCTTTTCCTTTCTTTTTTTATAGACACTGTTTAACGGGAATGAACATAACTTTTGATTATGTATTTAAAAATTCACCAGATGCAGAAAATCCTGAAGCAAAATTCAGACGGGAGCTAGAAGAAGAAGAAAAACCCAAACATCAGCCAAAGGATTTGAAGTGGCAGCCATAGTAGAACTCCAATTAAGTTTCTCATTTACATCATGCATTCAAATTTTCATGCTGCAGAACGGCATGACGGGGGTCTACGTATTGGTCACCACACAGAAACAAGCAAGCAGTCAGAGGAGGGTGACAATGTGCAGTCACCTGTTTGGAGTAGGAGGGCGGAGCAGGGTTTGAGGAAAAAGAAGAGTTGTTTGCTCTTTTGACTGTGTGGGAAATTCATTATCAGGGCTGCCCCAAGACATTTTGACACCTGAGGCAAACCACAAAACGCTGTCCCCCTCCAGGGAAGAAGGAGTGAGTGAACTTCTACAATGGGAACAAGGGTGGGAGGAGACCAGCAGTGCCTTATATTCGCCAAGAAGCCGCTGTAGAGCTGGCACTGGAGTACGGATGCTGAGGAGACAGCAGTTCCCATCTCCAAGGAGCTTACCACAGCTGTTGCTGCCACTTGGGCAGGGGCGGAAGCAGCAGGGTGAAGCATTCCTTGGAGGCTGGATCTGCTGCTCCTGCGGATCCTTCCACCCGAGGTGGTCGCCTCACCTTGCCTCATGGGTGGGCCGACCCTGCTCATCGTTTAAACATTTTACTAAGTGCATACTCCACCTTGTATCCAAAGGTGTCCAAGGTGGTCCTATCATGTGGCCCCTGACACTAACAAAAGAGGCCATTTATGGTTTGAAATAATACAAAATAATACGATTTGAAAAGAACTGAAAAGGCTGTACACACAAAAAATGGAATGAAAAAACGTGGCACAGATTTTAGAGTCTTTCCTGGGCACAGAAGTGCTGTTACATCCCTGTAAAACGGCATAGCCAGTTATTATCCAAAGTTCCCCCCGCCCAAGAATAATAATTTGCAAAGAGTCCGCTGCTAAACAAACACATGCGGTTACTAATGAAGCAGATGCCCTGCCCTCTGGAGAATTATAATGACGTGGGACCTACTATAAATCTGACAGAAAAATTAATCTCAATTGGGCTGAAGAGCACTCTTGTACGGAATGAAAATTGGCAGACGGACCACTGCAAATAGGAGCAATAAACAGTGAAATATTTGGCGGGGAGAAGGGAGAGCGCGGGGGGGGGGATTTTTTTACCTCAAAGACTTGGGATGCTCCTTTTATTGTAAAGTGTTATCAGCATTCAAAGCACGTGCCTCTATCTTAAATTAATGCTGCAACTGGGCCCAACATATATTTTAAGAAACAAAATTGTTAAGAATATCCTTCAAGTAACTCACAAGAGGATTCACTGTGGAGGGGAAAATATATTTTCAAGACCATGAGGGTAACTCAAAATGGGCCTTTAGTGAGACAGAGATCACAGAACAGGAATCAAGAGAGCTTCAAGCTTGCAAGGTTTGAATGAGCATAGAATGAATTGCCCATGTCTTTGGTCTCCTTTCTTTAGGAGACATTCCTATAGAGGAAGGATAGGGAACCTGTGGCCCTCCACCAGATGTGGCTGGACTAGAAAATCCCCATCATCGTTAACTGTATTATCTATTAAATTTATGTCCCATCCAGTCTACCTAAGGAACCAAAGGGGACAAACAGCGCTAAAACAATAATATTTAAAATAAAACACAGGAACACAGGAAGGTGCTTAGACCATTGGTCCATCTAGTTCAGTAATGTTTATGCTGACTGTCAGTGTAGACAGTACTGAGCTAGATGGACCAACAGGCTCAGTGTAAGTTCTTAGAATCATGGAATTGTGGAGTTGGAAGGGAACATGAGGGTCATCTAGTCCAGCCCCATGCAGTGCAGGAACATAGCTTCCTTCCTAAACACAAGGTGGCAGCAGTATAGAATGCAGAAGGTACAAGAGGTTCAAATGCAGAATTAGCCACTGTCTGCATTTGCTAGCTAAGCCAAGGTCTTCTGCTCTTGGATGTTTGTTGAATTCCGGAAAACCTCAGTTTTAAATTTTTAAAAAAGTTTCTAATCTTTATAATGAGATGAAGAATATGATGGCAAAAACTAGGCCCTTAGTGCCAAATAAGTTGTCCACTCTTGCCCCTTAGCCTTAGATAAATTGGTCATGATGTAACCATCGCCTAAGAGGGAAAGTCTTAGAAGCAAAGAAAACTGAATGAAGTGCCTTCTGTTTTTTAATTGGCACAACAGGACAAAAAGCCTTTTTATTTTAAAATATATACTAAAGAGTTACATTCTGCCGCTGATGCACCTTTGAAAGCTGGATAGCTCCCCTAACCACAGAATGTAATAAAGCCCTTTTACAACGCACTCACCAGAGCAGTAAATGTCATGTTAAAACTGCATTTATGAGACACTGTAATTCTTTGCAGTTACATAACATCGACTCCAAGACAAGAACGAATATTACAAGATGTCAAGACAGCCACAGTAAATGGCTTCCGGTTCTTGTTAAATGTTTCCTCCTCAGCCTTAAAGGACAACTCTGTTACTGTTCATCGTGATCGTCTACAGAAAATGACTTCCGAACACAACAAAATTCAGCAACACAACAGATTGAACTATGATCTGAAATTCCTTATCGTTAAGAAATTACAGCTCAGTATAAATGTTGCCATGCACAGGTTGTGAAAAATCCCTTACTCACACAGATGCTGCATGTGGGAAGCACAACATTTTAAAACTCCTGACTTTATATAGAGCAAATGACTTCTATACACCCATTAAGACAGAATTGGGAGGCACACACTACATGCACTGAGAGGGAAGGCATAAAGCCTATGATTTTTTGGGGGAGGGGGTCCAAAATACCATTTGCAAATGGTGAATTGGAGGCTGCTGTTTCACTTTTACTTCAGGGGTGAGATTCAGCTCCCAAAAATGATTTCAGGATGAGGGGAGGGAACTTACAATTTGCCACCTCATTTGCAAGTGGTGAATTGGGGTATGGAAGCTGTTTGTCGTGGGGGGGGGGGTGTATCCAAAATGGTTTTAGAAGGAATCGGCTTTCAACTATGGGGATGGGACATCTCTCTTTTTCTTTAAAAAGCTGCCAATTTTAAAGAACAGTAAAACCTCCACTGCAATTGCCCCCTCTGATCATTTCCACAAGATAATTTTACCTTTCTCATTTGGGAGGTTTGCCTGAAATACCCCCACCCCACCCATTCAGGCACTATTAGAAGACGTTGCAAGGGGCGGGGTAATCACCTTTACTATCAGCCAGCAACCTAGCCTGCCTGTATGTCCCCTGGAAAGAACAGCCTGGAATCAAGATGATACCACCAACAGCCAGAGGCTAAAAGCATCTTCCCTCTTCTGCACAGTGACATATCCCTAATTGAAACAAAATTAAAAAATTCCTTCCAGTAGCACCTTAGAGACCAACTAAGTTTGTCATTGGTATGAGCTTTCGTGTGCATGCACACTTCTTTAGAAGAAGTGACAAACTTAGTTGGTCTCTAAGGTGCTACTGGAAGGAATTTTTTTATTTTTTTTTTACTACGGCAGACCAACACGGCTACCTACCTGTAACATATCCCTAATTATAATTGCACCTTGGTATGGATTTTCATTGTAAGCTGCTTTGGGAACCATCTTAGATATCTATATCTATATCATCTATACCAAGCAAACATAGCAATGGCTAGTATTTTTTCTTCTTGCCAGTTAGTAATTTCTGAGGATTTCTATGGCTGACGTGGAGTCTTCTTAACATAACACAGCTAAAGTGTGTGTGTGTGTGTGTGTGTGTGTGTATATATATATAAAACAAAACGATTGGAGGAAATGATGTTATTTTTTAAAAATGAGCCAAATAGATTTTCTTTGTTGGGAAAAATATATCAGAGTACAATCTGGAGCTGCAGTTGGTGGGGAAGGTCAAGGAAAATCCTCGCTCCACACAGGTTTTGATATTTTCCTGGACCCTCTACGCAAACCAAAATAAAAAGTCGCTTTCCAAGAAGCCCTAAGCTTTTAAAAAAGAAAAAAGAAAAACCACCGGACACCTACCCAAGGAAACAATCTGTATCATTCATCCACTGGTTTATGAACTGTGCAGTGATGGGCTCTGGGTTGTGAGGAAATCTGATGTTCTCTAAAGTGTGCAAAAGGAGATCAGGGTTGTAGTAAAGGGCCGCAATGGCCACCTGGAGACACATGGTGCGGAGCTCGCTGGTTTTAACCCCTCGCGTTAAGCGCTCTAGGACAGCTTCTACAAAGAGCGGGATGCACTGAGGATAGAAAAACAGGAGAGACATGGGGTAGAGGAAGCAAAGGGAAAGTGGAGAAATGAAATATGTTCAGAGAAAGTTCCAGGCATTAAAAGGCTTTAACTTACAATTAGAATTACCTTTCCTTAGAATAAGGGTCAGGGAACCTGTGGCCCTCCTGATTAAGCTGGACCACAGTTCCCATCACCTCTGACCATTGATCATGCTGGCTGGGGCTGATGAGAACTGGATCCCAGCAACACCTGGAGGGCCACAGGTTTCCCCATTGCTACCTCACAAGCATGCAACTATACAGCACACAATTCCTTACGTGACTTTGAAGGGGAAATTATGTTATAAAACCATATAATGAGATACTGGCTCTAGAATACTGCTTCCTAAGAATCTCGGCTCTTTCTTTTTAAAGGCCTGTTTTTCAGTCCTGCAGTTACTGAAGAAATGGGAACTATGCCTGATGAAATCTCAGAAAGCCAAAGAAACTGCTGAACAAGAATTCCAGTTCTCAGGAAGCAAAGCTTCACTACCCTGTGAAGCTCTTTGTTGTTCCCTGGGGGTATGCAAAATAAGAAAAAATATGCAACTCTGCTAAATATGCATAATTTATACTGGTCACTTCTCTGAGATAGCTTGTAGCCCGTCATATATGAGTCCCACCTAACCACCAGCTGAATGATACCACCAAATACTTGTGTAATGTACAAAGCAGAAGAGCTACTGCCAGAACGTTGGCAATCAATTTTGGAAGCAGAAGGCCAGAGAAGCAGAGGCAAATTTTTATTGAAATATTTTTAAGCACCTGGAGCGCCATCTGGTGGTTAAATTCTCACCATCAGATTGTAACTTCTCAATTTGATAGAACAGGTGTGGGGAACACTCATTGGCCATGCTTGCGGGGACTATGGAGGTCCTATGATAGATGAAGAGTGCTTTGGAGGGGAAGCCTCCAACCTCCCCCAACTCCTTGTTCAACCTTTTCCTTTATCTGCTTCCCCAGCTCTCCCCCTTTTTTCTCTTCTCCTTTGGCATCCCACCATGACCCCCTTCGCCCCCTCAACATCCCCACTATTCTCCTCTTGCCCAATTTTGTCAGCTGCCAACAGGAAAAGGTGGCAATGCACAAGGTTCCCATGCAGCTCACACCCCTTTCACCCTCCCTACCCAGAGCAGTGGGCAGCAGGTGGCCGTCTGACTGAAGGAACAGACTGGCAAAAGGGCTGGTGGTGACCTTGAAAAGCCTTTATGGTTTGGGACTGGGATATCTAAAGGACTGCCTGTCAGTTTACATTTCTTGGTACAGAAAGTATTGATCCGATGTGTAGAGATCTTTCCTATTCTAATTAATTCAAGAGGGTTCTGGAAGCCTCTCTGTGTGAAAGAAACAAGAAGATTCCTGATGTTTGGGAAGCTGAGTACAGCTGGCTTAAACAGGTCCTGTTATCTCTTCCTGTCAAGGTCATGCTGACTAAAATAATAAGGCCAGAAGGGGCCTGGGTTTCACTCTTTTCTATCTCTCTTTCTTTTTGTTGCGGTGTTCTGTATATAGCATGCTTAGTGTTAAGGCTTAGTCTTATTATAAGTTATTGTAAGTTTAAGTTAAGTCTGCTGCAACTGGATTTCTTATGGACAGTGCCAATCCTGAATGTATTGGATTTGTGACCATTATGCTTATTTGCCTTCAACAGCAGTAAAGCTCTGCCGGATGAAATATTAATGGTCTATTTTTTGGGACTCCTGCAACATGTTTAAGTTTTTACTCTGCTAACTATTCATTGGAATACTGCTCTGGATCAATACTGAGTAGAATTCAGGCTTGCTTACTAAGACATGCTTGCTTACTAAGGTATTCTGTGCAGGCCCTCTTGGGACTGGAGAGGGGGCCTTCTCAGTGATTGTGTCTAGACTGTGGAATTCCTTGCCAAGGTAGCCATGTTTTGCCCCATCTGTCATGCTGAATCAAAGTGACACCTAGCCCAGCACTACAAAAAAATAACCTAGGCCAAATAGCCCATTCCTCCAAGCACAAACTAGACCCATCTCAAGCTAGTTCTATCTAATGATCATCAGCAAAAGAAAAACTGTATGCCACTCTATGATTCTATGATTACCTGGTCAATACCCCTCCCTTTGCATTGCAGAATAATGACCTCTAAGAGCTTGGCTGCATGGCATTCGGCATCTTCTCCTGCATCACCAGTTAATACCTAGCAACAAAACCATAAACAAATTACTGAGATGTCAGTTGATACTAAACATGCCCAAACAGAACATGTTTGCTCAGGGTGTAAATGGAAACTGTTCTGAACCATTCATGTCATATCTGAGAAACATATTTTCCAATACAGTATGACCTCTTATCTGAATAATCAGCAAGGCATCCAACATAACTGGATAACAAGAGAAGAGCAGACATAAAAACAGAGGGGCTAATCACACGAGCTTATACAGAAATGAGGGATAAACAGTAAATCTGAACAGTAACAATTTTAAGGTGTTCCCATAATGGGAGTCTTAGTATTGGCACTTTTATTCCTTTTCGTGGAGTTAAGTGGCACTCACTGAAATTGATCCCCAGCCTTCAAAAACAGGGTAGAATCTTGAACATTGTGGTCTGAATCCGTATGTGAATTAAGAGTTCTCAAAACATTACGCTCAACAGGCTCAGTGAGCAAAAAGCAAGAGAGCTCGGATCTGTTATTCTGTTTTCAAGTCTCACTGTCAGATTCATGGAGCTAGAATAGGCCAAGAGGCCATTTAGTACAAAGCCTGCACGCAATGCACAGCTGTCAATCCCAGCAGATCTACCTCAAGTGTTCAGACCTCGGCATGCTAAAAGCAAAGAGGATGCATGGCAGAGCAAAAAGCTCCGTGTTGCTCAAGCAAACTGAGCCAAAGCATGGCCCTCTACTAGAGAAAGGCAATTCTACTAATACTCTGTGGGACTTTTCCCAGAACAAGCACATTAGGAAGAGCAACTGAAACTGAATATTCAAGAACAGAATAAGTGTTTGTCCTGTTTGCTGGTACAGCTCATGTATTTAAAAGACAAACACATTCACAGTATTCTAGCATATGTTTTTGTGTAGGATATACATCATTTCTAGTTGTAAAGTGGGTGTCTTGCATGCTGATGTGCTATGAACCTAAGTGAAAGAAGTAACAGAATTGGAAAAGGATCCAACATATGGCGTGGGCAGAAAAATCCTGTTTTTTTTAGAAAGCCATACCATGTCCAAAATCAGTGGGTATAAGTAACTACACTCATCCTGTCAGGGTAACATGCAGGCATGACCCTCAGACCCTGGGTTTGAAGTCTGCTGAAGGGAAGCAAGCAGAGAATGTATGCTAAAAGCAGTTCTAAACAGGACTACTTGTGACCTTTACATTTCACCCAGTGCTACATTTTTCGGTCACTTTTTCATATTCATTTTTGATACCTAGTTGGTAAAGGTATGAACAATGGCAATACTTACCTTTTTACACATGGTGTAAATTATCTCTAAATTTTTGGGATTTGACAGTAACGTATCGGTATCAACAGTGACATAGTTGTGCAAGAGAGGCATCATATCTAGACAAAGGCAAGCAAAACAGTTAAGCTTGAGAGCAAAAGTAAGGTTAGCATTGTAGAGTTGTTTTCCTTGCATAGTACATGTTAATAAGCACTATAAACACATAAATAACTTGGGGGGGGTGGGAAACAAGTTCCTAGGGCTCCAAAGAAATGCCAGAAGTGTGTTGACAATCCCTGAAGCCTTCTACATGACGGAAGGAGGAAATGTGCAAATTTACTCAATATGCAGAGTTTATATAGGTCTCAGAAACTGGATTGCCACAGCCCAAATTAAGTGCACACCACTCTGCACAAGGCTATCCCGTGCACATGCAGCTCTGAATCTATAGCACTGAGGAACAATGCAAGCTTGTTTTCACTCAGCTGAGACAAATTGACAATTGATACACTCCATCATAGCTTCCTGAACTACTGCTAGCCAACATAATACTTCAAATCGAGTTACTTGAACAGATCTACTGCTCCAGTCTCTCAGGTTATTATAACATCAGTCAATCCCCTTTCAGAACACACTACAGAGCTCATTACCTGCAAAGTACTCAAAGCAATCCTGTTGAAATACTTCATATAAGACACCCAGAAGCTGCCACATTTGAGGTGAAATAAGATGGCACGTCAAGCTGTATGCTAGAGAGAGGATTTCTTCATAGAACTCTGAAAGGGAAACCCCCGCAGATCTGATGAGGTCTGAAAATAAAAGTTTGCAAATCCCACACAAACTGCAAAAATTCATACCATTATCAATCCTTTATACAGCAATTTTAACCAGCAAACATGTTTTGCAATCATGTCTTCCTTGAGGTATACTGACAGCAAGCTTGCCAGTTCACCTGAAGGTGTGACAGTAAGGAATTTACCAACCAGCACTGCATAGACTTGATTCAGGGCTTAAACAAAACTACACATTTAGTGCAATTTGAACCTGGACATTACAATACTATACTCCCATTGTGTGCCCCACTGTCAATTCCTCAGGTATGTCTAGAACTGAATTGACTGTTGTTCCATTGGCCTTCCAATTTGCACTACAGAAAGCAATCTATATGTCTAATGTGCAACAAAAGTAAATTCACAACAGGTGACTTATTTATGCCTAAACCGAAGTGGATAGCAGCGAAAATAAGTTGTTAAGGCAGCCTTCACCAATCCAGGCCAAAACATCTGGAGGGCACCAGATTGGCAAAGGCTGGCTGGAAAAAGAGGATGTACTATATTCTAATATCTAATTTGAGACTGGCATTTAGTTCTCTGCAATACAAACACAAACAAAAAATCTGGAAATATTTTCTAGAAGGTCAGCTTTTTAAATTTACCTATTACGTGCTTCTGCAAGACGAGGCCAATGATCTGTAAGCAAATGCTCTCCAACTGTTGAGTTATCTAGAATAAGAAGAGACAGAGACTGTTTATAGCATGAAAGTAACAACTGAATGCTTTTGTTTAAATGATCAGTTGCCCTAAAACAAAAAGCTAAATTTAAAACTGTTTTAAAATTATGACTGGCTGAAAGCTGTAGGCAAAGGTTTTGTGGAACAGAATAGGCCCACAGCGCCACCTGTTGACAAGTGATGGAGAAGGCTCACCTCCTTGTGGTCTTGCACGACAGTAAGGATTGTATCAATTGTGTGAAGGATCCCCATAGCCATGACAGTTTTATCCTCCAGTTCTTCATATTCTTCACTTTGGAGAACTTTCCCAAATATCTCTGCCTAAAGAAATCAAGACACAAAACAATGGAGAAGCAGCCTGCTGATTATGTCATCCTTGGAGACTATGAATAATAATAATAATTTATTTATTTATTTATTATTATTATTATTATTATTATTATTATGTATTAAAGCCATCAATGGGCACAGCAGTAAGTCCTGCACTAGTGGTTAGAACACCTGGAAGCCTGGGGAAGAGGGCTTACCATCATTGCCCTCCACAGCACTTCCCATTGGCTGTGTTGGCCTCCTCTAGTGAGTGAGCCGGCTGTGAACTATCTAGTTCCCAAACGGCATTTTAGCCAGGCTGCTTGGCCCTTGGAATGCAAGACTAGAACTTGTAGTGTAGCCTTCCCTGTGCCTGCCCCCATCCTGAACGTTTGAGTTTTCTCTGTATATAGATTATTTCTTTGTACTGTTGAACTTATCCTATTTATCTGATCTTATAAGGTCTTATGTGAATTGATTGACATGTTTTGTAAAAAATTATACATATCGTTTCAAATGTTTGGTATGTTGATAATAAGCATAGGAAGCTGTCTTATACCAAGTCAGACCAGTAGCCCATCCAGCTCAGTATTGTCTATACTGACTGGCAGCGGCTCTCCAGGGTTTCAGGCAGGGCACTACCTAGAGATGACAGGGATCAAACCCGGGACCTTCAGCATACAAAGCAGATGCTCTACCACTCAGATACACCGAGTTGCTTGTTGTGAGGCACTTGGAGCACAATTCACTGTGGAAAAGCGACATATACCTAAACTAAACTAAACTAAACTAAACCTTATACAGTGGTACATTGGTTTTCGAATGGCTGTTACTGAACAAATCAGCACCCGAACACCACAAACCCGGAAGTGTTCTGGTTTGCAAACATTTTTTGGAAGCCAAATGTCCGACGTGGCTTCCGCTTGAGTGCAGGAAGCTCCTGCAGCCAATCGGAAGCCGTGCCTTGGTTTTCAAACAGTTTCGGGAGTTGAATGGACTCCTGGAATGGATTAAGTTCGAGAACCAAGGTACCACTGTAGTGTCCTAGAATGGTTCTTGCTCCAAGCAGCTTGCAAAGCAATATTTAGCAACAGAGAGAGAAAGGAGGAGAGGTGGGATGTGAGAAAAGACAATTACAGTGGTACCTTGGGTTAACTTAATTCATTCTGGAAGTCTGTTCTTAACCTGAAACCTGGAAGTCTGTTCTTAACCTGAGGTACCACTTTAGCTAATGGGGCCTCCTGCTGCCGCTGCGCGATTTCTGTTCTCATCCTGAAGCAAAGTTCTTAACCCGAGGTACTATTTCTGGGTTAGCGGAGTCTGTAACCTGAAGTGTCTGTAACCTGAAGTGTCTGTAATCCGAGGTACCACTGTACTCAAACCTAGTTGCAGTTTTGGATGAAGACAAGGTGTGCATGTTAAACGTAAGACCTGAGAGCCTCCAGGTGTTGTTTGACTCTGACTCCCATCATCCTCAACCATGAGCCCTATTGACTGGAAGCGAAGGGAGACAGAGTCCAACAACACCTGGAGGTTCACGGGTTCTCCACTCTTTATGTAAGAGTTTCGTTCCACAGACTATAAACCTGCCTGAAATGCATGTAAACAGCTGAGAATGTAAGGTGGGGAAAAGAGAGCAATCCAGGCTGAGTGTTTTTGAAAACCAGGATATAATTTTTTAAAGCAGTTTAAAAATATAACAAAAGTTTCAATATTTAGGGTTAACCCATTGAAAAAAAATGTGGTATGGGCAAAAACACATGGGAATTTTCCAGGGTGTACTGCCTTATATTGAGATAAAATGAGAAATGCATTCAATTAATTTTCTCCAAGTCGTTTAAAACTTATTTTTATAGACATGCAGACTGGTCTTTACAATGCCAAAGCTGGAAGCTACACATCCCTTAATAAATTCTGGATTCCAACAAGATCAACTGGAACCAGAAACATCAGAGGTTTTCCTCTGTATCAGAGCACTGCTATCTCTTACCAGGTGCTGTGTCATTTCAACAGCAATTGTTGCTACTTCCTGACTGTATTCACAAATCAGCTTCTGGATTACATTGGTGAGATCATCGTTCTCAGTCTCCCGAACAACAAGCAGCAGCTCCTGCATAACTGGCCTGATGTAGGGCTTAATGTATTCCTTTGCTAAAAAGGCACACAGAAAAACAACACAGAAAAAGATAGAAGGGGTCATTTGCTAAATGAAGATGCATGGAGCTCTGGATTAGGATTAAACCCCCTAGATAGATAAGATAAAATGATAGAAAGATAAAATATAGATATCTATCTGTCTATCTATTTATCTATCATTTTATCTATCTATTTATCAGTGCTTCTTAGGTACACATATCTGTCTGCTTTCTATTCCTGAACTATTTCACTGGTGCAAGAAAAAGTGGTATGTTGGAAAGCTGAAAAAGGGAGAAAACTAAACAGACCATTTGGGGAATTTGCATCTTTATCCTTGAAGATACACTCAGGTCCGCCTTGCTCCCTTTCTCAAAAAAAAAAAAATTGCAGAAGATAGTATATGATGACTTGCTAAAGCAGGGTTCTGTAACGTCTGCAGCTATTACACCAATCCTAACCTTCATCTCAGACCTATTTGCATAATTAGCAGTCAAAATACCTGACACTTAAATGAAGGTTCAAAGAATGGGAAATGAATGGCCAATAATGAACTACATGGGCATTTATTCAGTCAGTAACAACCACATAGTAGGATGCTTGATAGAGTAGCAACAGATGCATTGATGTTATTGGAGCATAGATACTCAATACATGGGTGCACCTTTACAGCAACAATACACAGTAGGGTGAGAACAAGGATGCACCCTTCCTGGCTGGTACATATTCTATATTCTAGTGTCTGTCATTACAGAGAGGAGAATTATCATAATATTCATTTATTTTGACAGAAGGAATCTGAAGTTTAGCAACTAGGCATTGGAATTGAACTGGGGATGTTCATGCAGAGGCAAGAAAGAAAGAAAGAAAGAAAGAAAGAAAGAAAGAAAGAAAATCAAAATCAAACCTCGTTCCTGATGGCTTATTAAGGATTGAAGTGCTATGGCAGCTTCCACTTTGACAGGCATCTCTTTGTCGTCAATCAGGCTCTTCTTTGTTAGCTCAACAGCATTCCTTAGGTTGAGTTCATTGTGGAATTCCAAAGTACTGAACGAATGAAGAGTCCAACAGGACTGCAGCATAAGAGGGAGAAAGCAAAACAGACACTACTGAGTTCTGTTGTTCTCTAAGGAATCTAGTTGTGTGCTGGTAGTTCTCAGCTGATTAGACTTGTACCCCATACAGTGGTACCTCAGGTTAAGTACTTAATTCGTTCCAGGGGTCTGTACTTAACCTGAACCTATTCTTAACCTGAAGCAACACTTTAGCTAATGGGGCCTCCAGCTGCTGCCACGCTGCCGGAGCACAATTTCTGTTCTCATCCTAAAACAAAGTTCTTAACCTGAAGCACTATTTCTGGGTTAGCAGAGTCTGTAACCTGAAGTGTACGTAACCTGAGGTACCACTGTATTATGGTTTGAAGAGGCTTACATTAGACAACTGTGTGTGTGTGTGTGTGTGTGTGCGCGCGCACGCGCACATCCACCCCTGATTAAAGCCACCACCACTACCAACAACAACCATTAAAATTCTAGGCCAAGTTCCAAAGAGACACTTGTGTATAACTAAGGCAGTTTTGCACAGGCAACAGTCCTTTGTGCCACATGAAAATGTTGCTCCAGACAGTTACCCAACCTTCAGGAGAGGGGCAGCAAGCAAGAATGTCAGCAATAAAAGAGCAAACAAAAAAAGCAAAGAGCAACAATGTGCAAAACAACATCCCCAATGCCATCTCGCCCCATTGCCCCTTGAGAAACCAAACAAGTTTAAATCAGCCTCCCAGAAGCTGTAAGAAGGAGCATGCTCTCTAAATGATGCTAAGAAGAGCAAGTTACTGCAGAATGATACACTTGCTCTGGTCACTTACTCTTGCTCTCAAATACCCCAGGTTCGACATGAACAGTGGAAAGATGTGATTCTGTAGCATCAGCTCCATTTGATCCTTGAAGACACTCTTCTGATGGAATTAACAGTAGCCACAAAAAAGGTTAGTCTCCATTTTGATATGTGACAACATTCAATTATGTCCCAAAATTTAACTCCCCTAGACTAATTGCACAAATATAAACCAAAATCAGCTTCTAGCTTCAAGTTCACTCTCAGAAAATATTCTGGCATTATATAAGTCCAATAAAATGCAGAAATGCCCGACTGTTAATATGTTATGCTGTCCAGGCCAATTACAGCCACAGGTGGGAATGTGTCCCTATGAAGGTACATGTATCCAGAAATGCGGACTTGCTATGAATTAAGAGTTTTACAGGAATATCCAACCTCTTACATGGGAACCTGCCAAAGAGAGTTCCCTATGGCATATGCCTGTATCAAAAATGTGCATTTCAAAGCATGTTTTTGGGAGTACTGCAAGCTATAGCTCAGTATGTGCAATGCAGATATAAGCTAAAGTTGTAACATACAAAGCAGCCCCTAAGTGTCTGCATGAGGCCTTCACTGTTGGGCTGACTCCTGCTCAGTAAGTGGGATGAGACAGAGATGAAGGAGGCTATAAGAGGCAGCTTGCCTATGTATTTCAATTGCTGGGAGTCACATGCACAGTTGAACTCAAAGTCATCTGGTTGGCCACTATGAGAACAGGATACTGGACCAGATGGGCCTTTTGTCTGATCCAGCAAGGCTCTTCTCGTGTGCTTAAGTAAGACTGCAGAAAGGACCAGAATATCTTTCTAAGACCAGGTGAAAAACAAAACCTGGGAGTTTTGATATAGACCAGAGATATTGCCTCGTTTGTTAAGAGGCTTCCTTGTAGCTCTCTCCTTTGGTTAGACCTGGCTGTTGATGCACAGGCTAAATTCCTGTCTAGCTTGACTGTTCTCGTCTTCAAGTGCTACTACTGGTTTACGGGCCAATAGCATACCATGGGATTATTTCAAGTTGTTTTGAGGACCAAAGTGCCCTCTGATGCACACCTGCTTTTCAAGATGGTATTTAAATTGAACAGAACAACTAGGATACGTCTGTTTTAATGAACATTCTAGAGCTACTTACCATGCCTTACTGTCCACAGATCAATTTCATTTCCATGCATGTCTCTGATGAAATACATGTATACAACAGGACTTGCCAGGTAGTCCCAGAATACTAATTAAAATATACTGTACGAATCTTGGTTCATTCCATTTTCATTCATCTCTCTTAGAACCCCTTATCAACTCCTGCTCTACACAGACCTTCTGTCAGAGATATACATGTGCATTCTGATCCCTGCATTAAGGTTTTCATGAATCACATTGAAGACTACATATTTGGTGGCAAAACTACATGTATCTTACAAGTCTTCATCCGCTTACCTTCAGCAAAATCTCTGCTAAAGATCCTATCACATGTAATGCCCCATCTTTTTTCCTAGGGTCAACATTGGGCCCAGTAAGTATCTGATAGCAAAATGCCATCATTTTGGGTAACACCTAAACAGATGGAACAAAATGCAGAAAATTAAGAACTAGAAAGTAAAAAATACTGGAGTCATTCTGTTTAAACCAAGAAGACACTGGTGGTGCTGTTGATGAATGCCAGATGACCCATGGGGAGAGTGACCCATGGGGGGGGAGTGAGTGCAGCATCAGTCCAGACTGGAGGAATGGGAGGGGTCACTGTAGCCTGAACCAGCTCAGATAGTCATGGCAAGGATAACATTGGATTTTCAGGCAGGGACATACCTTGTACACTGCTCCTGAGCAACTTGGCTAACAAAGAGGATTAAAATGTAATAAAGATTTATTTTTTTTAAGGGAGACAAATAGCCTTTAAGCAGGGATAGGAAATCTTGGCCCTCCAGGTGTTGCTGGATTCCAATTCCCATCCCCAACAACATCTGGAGGGCCACAGGCTTCCCATCACAGCCAATGAAGAATGGAGGAAGCGGTACAAGCCTTTATAATGTCATAGTGTTTGTATTATAAGTACCTCTTTTCGCTTTTTTGCTGCAGTGTACAGAAGTATCTGAGCAGCTGTTGTAGGGGATGCATAATCTTCAAAGACATCTTTCAAGTTTTCAACAACAACAAAAAGAACAAGAAAAGAAAACCACATCAAGTGTTACTGCACAATCTTTAACAAGAACATTTTGACAAATCATTCTGAAATTGACAGAACAAGGACAACCCAACAAGGCTCTTTTTATTTCTTAAATGAGCAATCACTAATGGAAGTAAACAGCTTTCAGCCAATATCCTACTGTCTCTCCCTTATTTTGTGTTTTTAACAGACACCTCACCACAATCATCATTTATGGAGGCTTAAACAAACTGTTATTTAGGGATGGGGTACAATGGACAGGTTAAACAGGGGCATGTCCTACTTTGCCATCTTTTTTGTTTTATCTCCTTTTGTTATATTGCCTAAATACTAACAAAATTACAGGTGCAAACAAACAAAACTTCTCACTGTAGGCTGATCTGAATGTATAGTAATCTGTTCAAACATTGGGTGCTACTGGGAAATAATATCAGTGATAGCAAGGAAATCATCTAGCTGATGCATAATACATATTTACCATATTTACCAAATTTCATGCGGATGTACTCATAGGGGTCCTCTTGCCAGAGCTCTTCATCCTCATCTTTATAACACATCAGGGAAAAGATCACTTCTTCACACACAGTCTAATAGGAAAAAATGCAAAGAGAATGTTCAACAGAGCAAAATCACATTATTAATCATTCAAACACAAGTCCTCACCTCAACAAATCATCATTATGAATCCTGCAGCAGTACAGTGTGCTGCATACTGTACCCCCCAAATCCAGCAGCTAATGCAATGATGTCACATCACATGCTTTACATTACTAAATGTTATCAGGCAGGGGTGGGAGATAGCTACACACACACACACACACACACACACAGAGAGAGAGAGAGAGAGAGAGAGAGAGAGAGAGCACTCTAAATCCTACAGATGGTGTGGAATAAAATACAGATAAATGAAATAAATATGCTATTGACTGGTTATTTCTGTCCAAGTGACTGCATTCCCATTATAGTAACTGCAATGTTATAGTAATTGCAATGTTAATTATTGTAATTCATTTTTCAAGCTCCAACACTACATGAAAAGCTCTAGCTCAAATCCTCAGTATTTGTGCAGGGACACCAATCACTATTTTTGTATTGACCTGCATATGTGGTTTCATCTGCTTCCAGGTTATACAGTGATTGACCCCTTGGTTCAGATAGTTTAATGTTTGCTGAAGGACACGTGGTGCAACATACTCTTTCTTCCTATATTGGTCCAAGATTTTTAGGAGCACCTAAAGGAAAAACAACATATATCAGGTTGCATTTGAAAATCTGTCCTTAAAATTAGAACACTGTGATTGTTTCCATTACCACCATCATCCCTGAACATGGTAGCCATGGGAAAGATTTGCTGTAACAACATACAACAGGGACCAGCAACTGGAAGCCCAATGGTCAAATTTGATCATCTGAGGAGGACCTACTGGCCAAAATGGAGGCAAGAGAGGTGCAAGTGGCAGCTACAATAAAAAAAATAATCAGCAGTTCACTTTGGGAAGAGGGGCACCCTGGAAAACTAAGGGCTATAGCTCAGTGATAGAGCAGACTTTTTGTGTGCAGAAGGTCCCAAGCTCAGGTGTGGCCTTCCAGATGCTGTTGGACTCCATCTTTCATCAGCCCCAGACAGCAAGGCCAATGATTAGAGATAATGGGATTTGCAGCCCAACAACATCTTAAAGGCCACAAGTTCCCTATCCCTGCATTAAAGAAATGATACAAGGACAGGTAAAAAATTCCTGCTGTGGAACTATCATACTAATAAAATAAATGGCAGATGTTTACCTGTTGGATTCCCACAGCGTAGGTTTTCAAGAAGAACTCAGAAAATTCAAAATATTCTTTTGTTACATTCCCAGGACTGCCATACCTTGAAGAAAGAATCCAAAGCGAGTACGTAAACTGAAGGTTAATGCGTACACATGCTGCTAAAGTTGATCATATATAAAAGTGTGCTCAGAATAACCCTGGACACCAAAGGAAGAAGAAAAGCAGGGAAGCAAAATCTAGGACCACTCAAGGCAACAAGGATACATACACTCACTGTGACTCCCTGTCAGGACTGGTCGTTGTCCTCTTCAGATCACCACACAAACGCTTCTTGTTCTTTTATAACTTTTTATTGTGTATTAACAAAATAATCTTATAAACAGTTCTTAACTATTATTCCTCAGAGTCACTTATTTCAGATACCTTCTGAGCTCTGCTTCTCCGTGACCAGCCACCCTCAAAATGGCGAAGGCGCCTTTCCCTTCGTTTTCCCGCTCTTTTTTCTAACCTCCTGGCTAGAGCTGGCCTGTATCTCCCCTCCTCCCAATCTGAGCTAGAACTGAACCCTTGCCTTTCCTGTGAACAGCAGGTCCCTCCCTGTTGTTCCTCTTGCTCCCTTCTATTAGATTCACTGCTCTCCCTCCCCCCTTGGGGAATGCTTTCTCCCTCTGAGAAACTAGAAACTTCTAACTCTTCCCTGACACTCCCCTTGGCTAACTACATGCAGGTGTTATAACCCACCTATAGTAAAAGACAGATTTCACATTAAGCAAACTGGTCTTCTCTTAAGAGCTGCAAGAATGATGTGTCAAAGATGTAAAGGTATCAGCCTACTAGAGAAGGCCTTCATATCTTGTGACTTGCACTTGTGTACGAAGCCAAACACAGTCCACCCACCATGCATTGTGGCTTGCCTGACTTCCTGACTCCCAGGCAAGCAGTAAGATGGCTAATGGGGCATGGCTTGATTTTGCACGCTCTAGATATATTCAAAATAGCTCTAGTTTGTTTTTGGGTTTTCTGTTATGTAATTTATGTTCTCATTTATACCTTGTGATCTTTGGATGAAGGATGATATACAAATTCAACAAATAGTTGCAAGATGAGAAACAGAAAATGAGCAAAAGAAAATATTCAATGGAGACCTTCAGTAAAACTGGTAAAACTTTTTCAAAAGATGTGAACAAAAGTATGAAAGAACATACAGAGCTTGTTCAGACACAATGCTAAACCTTGGTTTACCGTTACAGGCACAAGTGACTATGACTCTCTCATACACACACCCCTCTGGTGCAGCCATAAGAAGTTTGGAAGTTTCTGCTCCTGTTTTAGATTTGTAAGGATACTTTTTTACAATAAATCAGAGCTTTCCAAACTTTTAATGTTGGTGACACACTTTTTAGACATTCCTCACTTCGCAACACAGTTATTCAGTTTTACTAGCAAACCGGAGGTTAAACTAACCCCTTTCCAGCCCCTGGAGGGGTGCAGGGAGTATTCATGCAACACACAAACGTGTCATGACACAGCGTTTGGAAAGCTCTGCATTAAATATATAGAAAAATGACTGAAGTATAGTGCTGAGAAAAACAGAGTTCAGAAAATCTGCTCTAGTTAGCATTTTACCTTTCAAAAAGGCGAGCAACAATCCGCAAAGCCCATTTCTTACATTTCCACCATACTAGTTCTGGCCTATCATCTTCATCAATCTGCAGAGTCTCCTAATGAAAGGAAATAACTATCAGCCAATGTGTACACAAATTAACGCTGAACATTAAGAAAACTTATATATATATATATATATATATATATATATATATATATATACACACACACACACACACACCCACACACCCCACCTAAGACCAAAATTGGCTTTGAAGTGGTTTACATTGTATAAAGACCAGTTAACACAAACATTAAAATATAAAGATTCATAATCAAAAGAGTCCCACTGAACACAGTGATATTTACTTCTGAACAAACATGCTTAGGACAGCACTGTAAAAAGACTGAAAATTACTTCTTTTGAGACTGTTCTCTGAAACCAGCAATACAAAACCCTCAGAATTTGTTACTGAGGCAAATTCCACATGGTTCATACTCTGCAGACTACACAGATTATGCAGGCTGTAGTGTCCACCCCATACCTTTCGATACGTTATGAATTATATCCTGCTTATTTTCTATTCATGGTAAACCTCAATGCAAGATACACAGGATTCGTAAGCATCTGACATCCTGGCACTGACTAGATTCAGACCTGCTTGGCTTCAGCAAAGCTGCAGCATCAGGTGCCTTCAGACCCTGCCCTGGCATGTCATAGCATGCACAGAACATCAAGCCAAAACTGTGTATCTTTAAAGCTTGTATAATATATCGTGCAAAACTACCGTATTTTTTGCTCTATAAGACTCACTTTTTCCCTCCTAAAAAGTAAGGGGAAATGTGTGTGCGTCTTATAGAGCAAATGCAGGCTGCGCAGCTATCCCAGAAGCCAGAACAGCAAGAGGGATTGCTGCTTTCACTGCGCAGCAATCCCTCTTGCTGTTCTGGCTTCTAAGATTCAGAATATTTTTTTTCTTGTTTTCCTCCTCCAAAAACTAGGTGCGTCTTGTGGTCTGGTGCGTCTTATAGAGCGAAAAATACGGTAACTTGCATATGTCACGAACTCCACAGCTTGAGTCTCAATCCTCATGGACTAAGGTTAGGTTCTGGCTAAGCTACATCACTGTACATACTTAGGTCTTGGAGCAATCTTCAAGCATGTAAGGGAACGGGCAATATCAGCTTCTACAACAGAGTCAACTGAGCAGTACCTTCTGCCTGCTCCACTCCAGCGCAAGCTTGTTTCCTTCTCCCCATGTCAAGGCAGCCAATGGCCCCAAGCCCAGCCTGGTCAAAAGGAATCTGGCTAAGCTTTCCATGAAAACCTTCAAAGAGGGAGATTCCGCAACCACACTTGGCAGAACACTCCTGTGCTAATCTGCTTTTATAGAACACGGCCCACACAGAGATGCACAGGCAATGGGTCCCTTGCAAGTCCTGGGTATACATGGGCACTGAAACCCAACAGGGCCCAGAGACCGTGCAACAGCCAGAGACACTACTGTAGTTGGGAGGCTGCAACAGTGCTCAGTTTGTAACAGGGTACCATGAGCAAGGCAGCCAATGGTCACATGTTGTGATGACATCACTCGGTGCTTACAGAGGCCAAGAGGGCTGGCGGGGGGCAGCAGGTTTGTGGAAGGCACCTGAAGTCAGATTTTCCTACGTATCTTCTTCCTTGTATTTCAGAAACACTATATTCTTGCCAAGCTAGTGGAAAGTGTGAGCAATTGCTCCTGTCCTTCTTTCTGCCTCCTTTTTTAAAATACTGGAACACAACTAGAGGATAAGCCTCTAATAACACTGCAAACTGGGGGGGTGGGGGCGGTGTTAAGTTAATATGCCCCTTAAACTACACTTCCCCCTTTCTTATTCCCCAAAGGCATTAGTGTTGCCCAGTAATAGAATCCTTACAGGAGGCACACTTCTGTCGATGATAGTCCGGAAAATCTCCATCCACTGAGTCATGGTTTGGTTATTCACCAGCTGAAGTGGCAGTGCATACTGGAATTAAAGAAAGGAAGAAAAAGATGGGGTGGGGCAGGGTGTCACACACAAAGAGTAAAGGTATTGCTGTGTTTCCAGACTATATTATTTGCACTAGAATCCAGAGATTACACCTTGTTTTTATTAAAGAAAACAATTTATTATACTACTGATACAACACCACAACGCAGCTGGATTATTTACTTATTTTTGCTCCAAGAGACAGGGTAGGACTACCTTTCTTAATGCCCTGGGAGTGTATGTTATGTGATGGTCACCTGGTCATCCATGGGCAGCAATGACTTTCAGCGATTTATTTAAGAGGAGTACATCAGGAGCTTCACAGGGGAATACAGAAGAAGCATGGGGGGAAGTGTGGAGGTATTGTGATACACAGAAGTAACAGAAAGGGAATGCAGAAAGGGTGTTCTAAAAAAGGTGTCAGGGCTGCAAAATGCCTCTCCTCATCAGTTTCCCTCCCTGCACAGCAATTAGACTTAGAAAATAAGGCCCCCATTCATTTGAAGGGAAATCTTGGTTTCTACAATGTCCAAGAAGCCTTCTTAAGTACAAAGAGCTCCCCACTTTACACAGTCAAACTTACATAGTTAAGGACTTTCTAAAGAGGACTAAATATGTCCATTCCAGGGGCACTTATAAACACACAGTAAGCCTGCAACTTGCACACACTTAACTTGTGCTCATTCAGCTTTACGCACTTGGCAAAAAAAATTCTAAAGGGGGAGGAAATTCAGGAAAAAAGACTTTGGCAATTCCAACTGCCATTACTGTACCTCCAATGTGTTTTGACTCTACATGATTTTGGCTTTAAGCACAATCCTCAGAACGTAACCCGCATGCAAGTTGCAGGCTTATTGTAAGGCGTTACAATCTCTCATTAGCATTTTTTCTTTTCTGAAATACTGTGAAGTCCAGGCCTAAGACTGTAATCTTAAACATCCAAATTTGTAAGTAAGCAAGCTTGAAGTGAATGAAACACTCTGAAGTATGCCTCTTAAGGGAAATGATGCAGAGGGTCCCCCACACCCACCCCAGAACTCTCTATAATCTGATTGCTTTACGTGCAGAGGCTCATACCTGAACAAGTGCATAGAAAATCTTTAAGATCTGTTTCTGAAGGAGCACAGAGTAATGGGAGTTGTCAGGAAGGAGCTGGATTGTCTGCTGCTGAATCCGAGGCAAGAATATCTGCATTGCAGCGATGAGGGGCTCTCTCTCCTCGGCCTTCTTGTATCTGTAGAAGTAGCCAGACCCAGAAACAATTAGGGAGCAAACTTTTACACTTGTCCTAATTCTTCTACATTTTAAGGAAAAGATTCAATATTGCTTGCCATCCTTCCACCCCTGCATGACCATTTTTATCTATTTTTCAGCACAGCAAATCAGAGACTTATTGGCAAATATGCTATAACTTACACAGCTGTACAGCATTATCAAGTAATCTGATAATTACTTGAACCTTCATGTTGACTCACATATTGCACACAGCAATCAAGCTCTATCTACTTTCATCTGGAAAAAAGCATGAGTCTCTCTTCTCATGTTACTCACTCTGCCCTAACCTTGATGAATGCAAGGACTGCTTCCCATTTGCTAGAGCTGCCTTCTCCTGAGCACATGGGTGGACTCCTGTCTTTCTCCCTCCCCACACATACATTCTACTTTGAGAATTGAGAAGCTATTTCTCCAAGGAACCAGTCAAGGCAAAAGGAGGGGTACATGCATGTATTTGGAGGTGCTCTCCAGACACTGCCATCTGTATGAGCAAGGCTACTGGGCAAGGGGCTTTCCCAGAAGAAGATCCACTTACTCATAGGTCTTCACGAGTTGGTACAGGCACAGCAGACTTCCAAGCCAGCTCCCACTATTGGGAGACTGCAAGTAATAGCCTATTTTGTCCACCACTGCAGTCCAGTGACCTGGAAAGTCATGCTTGATAATAGTGCGGAGGCACATTGTCAGCTGGGCCCTGAAAGGTTGGGGAAGAAGAAGAGAGTGTCAGCAAGTAACACATTCTGGTAAACAGTTTGAGAAGCAAATTCTTTAAGCATGTCAGAAACCCAGAGCAAATAAACAAATGCTATCAGACAATCCTCCGCAAAAGGAGAATATCAGAAACCTTTCAAAAGACAAAGACAGGATGAGGGGATATATGTGAAATCACATTCAGTGTAACTATGGGCAGTATGCAACCACAAAGTTCCACTAGTGCAAGGCGTTTTAGCTATGGATTGGAACTTCCCTGCACATGCCCAGCTTGCCCTATAAATCTGCTCTGAAGGGTTGGGGGAAACCCAAGAACAGATTTAGGGGTCATACAGGGAGAGGAGAGGGCAGGGCAATTCCATAAAACACCTAGAAGTCACTGCACTAGTGGAAGAAGAAGAGGAGGAACTGTTTAGTTGGATACTGTGTAATGAAACCATATTGCTGGTGTCTTCTCCTTCCTCCTCGAGTTATCAGAGAGCAATGGACTAACAAAATAAACAACATACACACAAATTAATGACTACTAGAAACTAAAGCACACAAGATTTGCAAACTTGCAGACCATCAGTCTCTATGATTAACCCAGGGTCAATCCTGGGTGACCTAGAGGCTATATGCAGTGGGACAGTGAGATGGTATCATCCACTGGGCCACCCGATATCCATGAATAGACCTAATGTCTGCAGAGGGCCCATGTGCATATATCCGCACACTCAGACCAAATCGCACAGCCCATTTCTGGATTCTGTGTTGGTATCAATCAGGCCTGCACATGTACACAGGAGGCTGCCTTATATCAAGCCAGGCCATTGGTCCATCTAACTCGGTAGTGTTCACACTGAATGGCAGCGGCTTTCCAGTGCTGCAGGCGGGAGTCTTTCCCAGCCTATCTGGAAACATCAGAGATTGAACCTGGATCCTTCTGCATGCAAAGCATGCGCTCTACCAAGGAACTACAGCCTTTCCCTATTACACACTCATGTGGAACAGCTGGCAGGCAGGGTGAGAACAGACCTTTCTTTATCATCTAGACTGGGTCAAAAACGGATTATAAAGGGTTTTATTTATCTTCATCTGGGAAACAAAACTTCCTTGGTGTGAGAAAAGGATATGATATTTTAGCTTTAATTGCCCTTTGTTCATTAGCCTGCCTCTCTACAACTCTCATTTAGACCTTAACATGAAATATCCAAACCATCTTCTTTAGAAACAGCTCTCTGGGAAGCCTCCACTTAAGAATTATTGCAGAAGTGATTCCAAGTCCTTTAGCTTACTTTCCATTACCCTTCCTAACCCATCACCTCCTGGAAAACCACAATTTTCAAAAAGAAAAATACAGAGTAAAAACTGACGTAAAGTAGCATGATCTGCATAATTCATACCTAATGGAAGCATTAGTTCTCCCTGGAACACAATTCAGGGAATTCTGATGCATGTCCCCAAGCCTGACATACCTCACTAAGTCTGGAGAACGAATAATTCCTTCCACAATGTTATCCCGAATCTGTTGCCGATCATTTTCATGAATGTTGAATGGAAATATCACTTCTCCAGGTGGTGGCTCTCGGTCTGGCCAGTACTGCGTCACCATGTTCTTCAAGTAAATAGCAGCTGAATTGAAAGAAGAAAAACATCCCTAAGTCCTAGTGTCCTAGCACATGGAAGACTGCTGAATTTTTTTTAAAAAAAAACCCCAAGGTCCAAATGCAGCCCTTATAGAGCCCTTGGGACTCTCCTCACAGGCTCTTTATTGCACCCTCCTTGTTTTGCTGGAACATGTTCTGAACTTTAGGTCTCAGTAGCCAAGGCAAGCAAACCATCAAAGTAAGAAACAGTAGCTGAATTTGGATATGTATGACTATCAAACCAAATTCTAAACATAGCACATAGAAATAATTTCTGCTCACCTGCCTGTCGGACTGGGAATTCCACTTGATCAGAAACTATTATTTGTAGTAGGCTGGGAGCAAAGTTGATGATCTTGTAGGACTGAAATGCATAGAAAGTCAATCAGAAAAGCACCATATATTGTAAAACAAGTTAACCTGTAGTATTCTCCTTCCTTGGAGGGTTTTTTTAGCAGAGGTTGGATAGCCATCTGTCATGTATGATCTAGTTGAGATTTCTGCATTGCAGGGGCTTGGACTAGATTATGCTTGGAGTCCCTTCCAACTATACAATTCTATGATTCTTTATTGCCATGAATAAGAAAAAGATTATTTCCTTCCAAATCAGATGTTCTCCTGCAAAGTTAAGCAGTTTGAAGGGCTGAGCATGCGGTGGACACACTCCAAATGAACAGCTGGCTTAGACACAACAGGTTTTGTTCTGCTCTTGAATCCAGTTGTGGTTTTGACCATTTATTTCTCTAATAAAATTGGAAAATAATAATACTATTTCCACCTCCAAACTATAAGCAACAGCAAAGCTGTTGTTGCTGCTTCTTGCAACAGCAAAGCTTCTAATAAAACACTATTACCTTCATAAACAGTTGAGAAGTACAAAGTACATTCAAAGTACAGTATTACTTTCCTATATTAATTTTATGCAACATATTTTTAAGGTAATTTTCTGTGCTGACCTTTACATACTTTTTTGTGGATCAGTGAATAAGTTAAAATAACTGGAAGAAGGAAAAAAGGTGTCAGCCTGATCACAGTCATTCTGATGGAAGTTTCCAGTTATCACAGGAAAAGGCATTTTCCGATATCACAAAAAATCAACTCAACAAGAGCACTCAGGAAAATTATTCTGAATGATTGAGCTTCTAAGTGAAAAAAGACTGCTGGATATGAAATCACACAACATTAAAACCCTCTAACAATTTCCAAAGTTCCTTAAATGGTTTCTCTCCCGTCGCTCATATTTTATTTGAACTTTAGCCACTGGGGCAGGAGAGTAGCTGTAAACTGTACTGCCCATATCACTCCTGCATTCACCTAACCCCACCAACTTTCACACTTGAAATATCTTTTATTTGTAGTAGATGGATGGCCTTTGACTTGATATGGCTGACTGGGTTGCCTTGGTCCCGTCTTGGTTCAACCAAGAACCCTCTAGTTTCCCAGACCCTCTATTTTCTGCCAGATTCCACTGCACCAGGCACACTGCAATAGCACAAGCACAAAGGAAATGCAAGACCAGGTACTGATGGATCAGCACCAGTCACTAATGGAGTACATCCTAAGAAGTCTGTAGCTGTTGCATTCTTTTGACGACAGTTCACTATACTTAACTCTCCCAAATGGGAACTGCATTAGCATCACTGTGGCATTGATTTACTAAAATCTGCTAGAAGGTTTCGAAGACCTCATTCAGCAGTTGGCAGCTAAATGTGTCAGCATGTCAAGGACAAAAGTAAAACTGTAACCGATCTGATCCTCTTTAAAAATGAATACCTCCTTTGCTGTTCATCCAGGATGAATGCCACAATATACGCTGGATACTTTTTAAAAAAAGAAAGCCTAAATCTGGGTATCAGAAATTTAAGCAAGAGAGAATTATGGATAAAGGGCAGAATTCCATCTGGGTCATTAAGGCTCTCCTTTGGCTTCTTTCAAAACAAGCAGTGAAAATAAGAAGCTGCCTTATATCAGACCATTGGTCCATCCATCTCAATACTGTCTATACTGACTGGCAGCAGCTTTCCAGAGCTTCAGATGAGAGACTTTCCCAATCCTACCTGCAGATGCCAGGGACTGAACCCTGAGACCTTCTGTATGCAAAGCAATTGCTCTACCACAGAGCTATGGCCCCATAACATTAAACATAGATGATGCATAACAATAGAAATAATAACTCAGATAGCCCCTCCCCAATTTAGAAACTTGATATTTGAAGCTTCTGAATCATGCAAATGTGTCCACCTTCCCTGGAACCTCTCCCTCTGCTGAAATTAGGCTAAAAAGAAGCATTCTATTGTAGCAACTAGAATAGGGCATGTGTGGGATGCCCATAACTGTTGTCCAGATTGCAAATGTACCCATCAGGTTGGCGACTCCTGACTTAGGAGCTGTTAGTTGCTGGCAGTTCTTTCATGACCCTTCTGCAATGAAGGCCAAAGGAAACATATACTTCAAACAACATAATGTAGAAAATCACATTCTGCTCTTCTTTTTTTCGAAAAAGTATGGAACCAAACAAGAGCTAGGAAATTAAGCTTTCAATGACACCACCCCCATCCGACCATTTTTACCTTCATTTCCATTGTCAGAATCACAACCAAATGAACATGTTATGTGTATTTATATGCAGCAACTAAAAACTTTTACAACTAGTTTGGATGTAAAGATGTGCCGGGGGGTTGCAGTCTGTATGCCCTGTCAAAGTTGACTTGAGTAATATACTGCTTTGTGTTGATATCTTTTTACATTATGAAAATTACAAAAAAAGCTTTGTACAAATAAAGCTACAAGTTGGCATTCTGACGAGTTCCTGGATCTTTTTTATCTAAAGTAGATATGTATACAAGCTAAGAATTCTTGGATCACGGGAAGCATGTTGATTCCAAGCTGAAATTCAACAACCTTCTGCTCTCTCTCAGGTATCATAGCTTTGATGTTTTTTGACATGACTCTTTTTGAACAATCCAGTTACCACAGAATCTTGCCATTGACTTGTGAATGATTTGAGATCTTCTATCCTAATCTAATACAACTGTCACTCATGCGGTTGCTTAGCAGTAGTTTTGATCATTAAGGGACTGTGAACTAACCTTCAATGTACACGTATAATGATTCCATAAAGTGAGGCATTTTACTTTGACATGTAAAGCAATCCTATACATGCCTACTCAGAAGGAAGTCCCACTGAGTTCAGTGGGGCTTGCAGCAGAAGTTTACTGCTTGCTGATTTGTAATTAATTTGGCAACCTTTAAAAAAGTTGGAAAAGTTCACAATCTAATTTCAAAGTATCAAAATTCCGGAGGGATGGTGATGAAGAAGTCAACTTGTCAAAAAATAACTATGCTGAAGAATCATAGGAACTACCATAGGTTGTAGCATGAAGGAATTTCACCACCAAAAAATGGTTAGGATAGTTTAAAAAAGTTGCGAAATTAAAAGCCACAAGTCTAAGACCTGTAGAGTACCTATAATACCAACCAGGGAGCCCAAAATTCCAAAACCTGTTGTCAACCTTCAAAACTTGAGATGTCTGCTTAAAAGCCAAACAAAAGTGAACAGAACTTTCAGTGAGGTTGCCATGTCAGCCTGTTACAGCAAACACACACACACATACTTTTCTCTTAAAACAGCAGCGTCTTCTGGCCCCCTGTAGACTGACATATTTTAAGGTCCAAACTAGTCTTGTATGTAAGAACTAGCCTAATAGCTATAGGTGACATGCAGGCAAGTGAAAGGCTAGCTGAAGACAGATGAAGTATCTTGTCCCTTCTTTTCTTTTCTTTTCTTTTTAGATGTATTTTTTTTCAAAGGAACAAATAAACACCACCATAATATTTACAGGTCTCACATCTGGTGTTCTATTGGAAAACCATTTTGGATACAGGTAGTCACAGACTATGCCCAGCACAGAAATCAAGTGTGTTGCCAGAGGGAAGCCCCCTTCTACAAACCCAGCATAGCAACTTGGGCTGCGTACACCCCATTTAAAGCACATGCAAAGCACAATGCTTTCCCCTAGAGAATCCTTGGAACTGTAGCTTATCCCTCACACAGCTATAATTCCCAGCACAATTAAACTACAGTTTACGGGGGAGGATGTGCTTTAAATGTATGGCTTGTACACGGTCATAGTATAGAGCTGCTGCAGCAGGGACAGAGCTCTCCCTCCCTCCTCTGTCAGCCCCCAGCAAGCAAGTAAACGTCTTTTGCAGGCAAGCAAACTCTGCGGGATTATTTACAAGGCCGGTGGTAAGCTTCCCAAGGTTAGAGATCTCTCATTAGATTTGTGTGGGCTCCAGTCCATGAAAACATGCACAGTAGTAAATCTGGAAGTCTGCAAAGTGCCTCTTCCCGCTCCCACAGGCGAACTTCTGGACAGAGTCCTCTGGAGCTGAAAAGACCGAAGGGTGCTTCACAGGGAGGAGGGGTCAGCTTTTGTGGCTGAGAGACCACCCAAGGTCCTGGCTGGGTGAAACCTGGGTTCAAATCCCGCACTCAACCCATGAAAGCTGGCTGCGTGATCCCAGAGCCAGCCACCCTCTCTTTGCCTAAACCACCTCACAGGATGGCTGTGAGGCAGGAGCGCCAGCTTGGGTGCCTGGGGCCACGGGTGCCGTGCATCGTGCATGGCCCTGGCGCCGGGATTTGTGGCTGCCCGGCCCCTTCATGGGAATTTTTGTGGGTGCTTGGGGGCCCCCGGGATCCGGCACCGATACTGTGAGGGATAAAACACGGGAAGAGCGCACCTCGGGAGGAGGAGAGGCGGGACAGGAATGTAGGCGAATAGCCGTGTAAATCCGTTAAGGAAACCGCTAGGCTGTTTTCGGGTGGGGAGGTGCAGTGACAGGATTCTCCTCAGAGATGGAAAGAGCGCGCCCACCATGGCGAGGCAAGAGGGGGAGGCGAGGAGGGAGGCCACCCCCTGAGGGGAAAACAAAGCCCCGTCCTCCGCCGAGGCCTGGCGGGAGGGGAAGCAGCTGATCCCCGAAGTGCCTCCGCCGCGATCCCCTGGGCGGGGCGGGGGCGGCGAAGGGGGCCGGAGGCTGCGCTCTCACCTGGTTCAGCTCGCTCTCGGCCGCGAGGCGCAGCTTAGGGTCGATGGTGCCCTTGAGCGCCTGGATGATCCGGTTGGGATCCATGTCTCTCCGATGGCGGTGGGGGGAGAAGGACAGGCGCCTCAGAGAGAAGGGCCGCCGCCGCCGCACACAATCCCCAGCTCGCCTCTCCCCCTTCGCCACACGGGAGCCATTCACCGGTTTACGACAGCGCGGCTGTCGCGAAGGAGAAGATGCTTTGCGCCCCGGGCGCTTTCCTTCGCGTCTCTCCTCCTCCCCGACTCTCTCGCGGTGCCCGAATGGCAGGCGCCATGTTGTTGTACGGAAACGAAACACACATTGCCGAGCCGAGAGAGCGAGAGAGGGCGGTCTAGAGCAGCCGCTCCCGCCCTCTCCCGGCTGTGGACTTTTTAAAGATGGGGGCGGCCATGGTTTGTTACGGAGAGCATCCGCTGTAGTTGGAGCAAACGGGGGCTTCTCTCCTTCCTTTCCCTCCTTGGCTTCCAGCTGATATGGGAAAGCAGGGAGGCCGATGCTACGAGGACCTGTTGCTGGGACTTCGCTGGAGGATCCATTGGCCCGGCAGGTTGTGGCGCTTCAGCTCTCCGAAAGTGTCTCACGTGCTCGACAGGGAGTGGCGCGCAGCCCTCCAGCTGCTTTGGGCAGCGATTCCCTCAGTCCCAGGCTGAAATCGGCAGAGGCCCTTCCTTATTTTTGGGTACTAGCTAGAGGGAGCAAGCTGGTCCTCACAGGTTGAACTTGACGTGGGTTTTAAAGGGGTGTGACAAGAGACCACATGCGCAAAGTGGATGCTCAAAAAGGCGAAGGCTCTTACGTGAGTGCTTAGGGATTCCTCCCAGCCTTTCGCCTTTCTGCCGCCCCGCTGGGGTTTGGGCAATGCCCGCCCAGCCACCCTCCCAAAAATAAAAGCTGCAACTTGCAGCTTCTAATATGTCATATCCCATTCTATGATCTTCAGTTGCGAGCAACTTTGAGGGGAAAACCGCCCTGAGATCTCCGGGTATAGGGCGGTATATAAATTCAATTAATAATAATAATAATAATAATAATAATAATAGAGGGAAGCTTACAAATACTGAGGGTGTGGGAGGTAATCAGTCCATGTTATCTTACAAAGTAATATAGGTGCATTAGGCTCATAGTAAAAAAAAGTTATAAGTAGCACCTTAATTTGTTGGTTTCCAAGGTCGCACAAGCCTGCTTTTTACCCAGAATATTTCTTTTTTGCTACAGACTGGGGGGGGAAACGTGATGCTACTGCTTGTTTAGTCTGACCCGCCAAACATTTAAGGTGGTGTGTACACAGCCACACCCATTGTCGTCATCCCCCGCCAAAAAAAATCCTGGGAACTGTAATTTCCCCCTCACATAGCTACAGCATTCTTTGTGATAAAAATGTACTTCAAAAGATATTGTGTGTATGCCGAGTACTAGAACATTGGTCCAAAAGAAGTCCACCTAGAAATCTTGTACTCATCACTACAATATTGACACACATTTAGATAAAATTTATGCTGGCAAGAGAAGCACTCTCCTTGTTGTATGTATGAATAAGGGGCATATACACTTTGAGTGGCAGGTAAGGATTTCTTAACTATATGTGAAGCAGTCTCCAGCAGCTTTGGTGACAGTGTAAGCATAACATAGTCCATTTCAGATCCAGGAGTTCACATAGTGCTGTATGTGTGAGCCAGTTAATCATAGAATTGTAGAGTTGGAATCCCAAGGGACATCTAGTCTTCCAATCCCTTGCAATGCAGGAATCTCAACAATGAAAGTGTAGCAGAGGATATGAATATTGGATATAGTGTTTGATCTTCAACACAGCAACTACTAAAAAAAAAAAGACAAATGCACACTAGCTTTTTTAAAAAATATATTATTAGAGATAGATAATTTATTACGATCGGAGACCAGCTTATAAAACACACTTGGGGGAACGGTCCCAGAAGGAAAACAAACAATTAAAACAATCTACAACAATAAATTTAAAATTTATAAATGCACCCAGACACAGAGGTCCAGCTCTGAGGGCCTTATGGGGGTTCCCTCAGTGCGAGAAGTGAGGTTACAGAGAACCAAGCAGAGGGCCTTCTAGGTAGTGGCACCCACCCTGTGGAACGCCTTCCCATCAAATGTCAAGGAAACAAACTACTATCCAACTTTTAGAAGACATCTGAAGGCAGCCCTGTATAGGGAAGTTTTTTATGTCTAACGCTTTACAATTTTTTATGTGCTGTCTTGGCTTGTTTGATTCCTTTTTTATTTGCAGGTGTGGGGTGTGTCACTTCACAACTTCCCCTTGCTCCATGAAATAGCGCACCCTGCACTCGCAGATAAACAAGGAAGCAAACAAGTCAAGACTTTACCATTTTTTTGAATGCAGTTTTGAATGCACTATAGAATTGTGTTCTATAGTGAATACTGCATTTAACACCCTTTTCGCATAATGGCATCAGAAGCCAGCAAAAAACATGGTAAAACAAAAGTTTTCAGCATGCACCAGAATTACACCATTTGAATCATGCGTTTTCCAATGGGGAGGCCATTCCATGGAGTGGGTGCCACTGCAAAAAAGGTCCTCTTCCTAGTTAATGCTAAATCCAAGGCTGTGGCACAACCAGAAAGATCTCTGTTGTGCAAATCTATATGGGAGAAGACATTCTTTCAGGTAACCTGATCATTACAAACATTCTTTCACATGTGTACTGGTCATCCCCATCACAAAACGTGGGATATGTGTAAAGATAAGGACCTATCCCTTGTCTCTTTTTGCTGTATTCAGTAGCGCCTCATATGCAAGGAAATGTGAAGTTTGGGGCTTTACATTATAGAAAAACTAAAGAATGAGCATAAGAGGCATAATAAAAGTTAAATAGGAAGAAAAATATTTACACGCTATGAATACTAGGTGCTGCCGTTCTGCTCCCAACTTCAAGGGCTTCCCAAAAGCGCCAAGCTGCAGTCAGGAACAGAATGCTAACTATAAGGAATTCCACCCTGACCCAGTGAAGGTGTTCAGTGGGGTAGGAGGAGAGGACATAGAAAAAAAGTTACAATAAACAAGAGTGCACAAAGGAAGGAAATGTTAGAATTTACCACCAGGCAAGAATGTTACTTGCCCAAAAATGGAAAGAAGTAGTCCCAGCAAAGGAAGAATAGATACAAAAACTTATGGAATATGCAAAAATGGTAAAACTTACTGGAAGAATAAGAAATCAAGATAACAAACTTTTTATAAAAGAATGGAAATGGTTTATTGAATATTTACAGATAAATTGTTAACACGGGCAGGATTACTGTAATAACCTGCAGCTACGCAAGAGTATATATTAAAAGAAGATAAATAAATAAGTTTGGATATGCAGAAGATATTAAAAATACATTTAAGGAATCGCAGAGAAGGGGAAGGAAGTCAAGTTTTAAAATGTCAAAATGATTGTAAAATCAGTGAAATGCATATATCTGAAAAGTATAAATAAAATTTAAAAACGGGGTGAAAGAACTAACCATCAATGTCCATTCTCTTTGGGAGAATGGAGTGAATCTGAGTGTGGGTTACTGTAAGCAAAGCTGTGTAAATGAGTTTCAGATGCACTGCCTGTTTGTTGGCTTTGCATAGCTCCAAAATGTCTACCCTCCTCAGCTGTGCTTTGGCAATGAGTGATAGGCATTATAGTCCACCACCTGTAAGGCCACAGGGTCCCTCTCCCTGACTTAGGGAGAGGGAGCTCATTAGCTGTCAAGTAAAAGGCAACACTCCCAGAACAACTTGGGAGCTGCGGTCCCCTTTTTGCAGCTGAGACTGCCCAGGTTTTTCCCCCCTCCAAGTTGTCCCTGTACAAGGAAGCTTTCTTAAATCAGAAGTGCTGTTGTGAGGGTAAAATTGCAGTAATTGTACAGGCCGGAAACAGATTCCCTCCACCTCCCTTTGGGAAAGTAAGGGAGGGAAGTAGCAAACTGCCCCGTCTGAAGCTGAAGATCAAATAAACACACAGGGTCACTGTAAAAGACTTACAGTGGAAGAGCAAGCAGGAGTGGAACCTGAAATGTATTTGAATAACCCTGCTTATGGAGAGTGGAAATAGCTCAATTCAGGGTGTGCCTCCACATGATAAACAGGTTAAGAAACCATATGCAAAAAATCTGCAGCTAATGTGGCATGGCAGTGCAACGCACACATACTTCAAGACAAATATGCAGATATAAATCTAAAATCGATTTTATTTTACACCCTGGGACAATAAAATTGCTTATGGCCCCATTAATCCTTGATAAAGGTAAAGGACCCCTGACAGTTAAGTCCAGTCGTGAACGACTCTGGGCTTTACTGGCTGAGGGAGCTGACGTTTGTCTGCAGACAGTTTTTCTGGGTCATGTGGCCAGCATGACTAGGCCACTTCTGGCGAAACCAGAGCAGTGCACAGAAGCGCAGTTTACTTTCCTGCCGGAGCGGTACCTATTTATCTACTTGCACTTTGACGTGCTTTCAAAATGCTAGGTTGGCAGGTGCTGGGACCGAGCAACGGGAGCTCACCCCATCGCGGGGATTTGTTTCAAAATGCTAGGTTGGCAGGTGCTGGGACCGAGCAACGGGAGCTCACTCTATCGTGGGGATTAGAACCACCAACCTTCCAATTGGCAAGTCCTAGGCTCAATAGTTTAGATCACAGTGCCACCCGCGTCTCTTGATACCCACCCACAAAGAAGACTGAAGTACAAGGTTCCATATGCTTACTCGCAAACTATCCAAGCAGAGCTCCAGCTGCACTAAAGCTTCCATCCCATTGACCAGTTTTAATATTCCATTCTGACATCTGAAAAACCTTTTAGTTTATACAAAGCAATCCTTCAATTCACTTTTTACTTTAGTTACAAATCCAATTCTATGTACTTTGAGCACTTTGAATGTAGAACAGGCATCCCCAACCTGCAGCCCTCCAGATGTTTTGGCCTACAACTCCCATGATCCCTAGCTAACAGGACCAGTGGTCAGGGATGATGGGAATTGTAGTCCAAAACATCTGGAGGGCTGAAGGTTGTGGATGCCTGATGCAGAACCTTGCAAGGTGGGTTTTTTTGGGGGGGGGGTCCTAACAGTCTAGTCCAATGTGCGGCTTAAGGGCTACATGCCGCTACCAAGGCCTTTTCTGAGAGTCCTCAGCAACATTTGATGCTACCCTCACCTGCAGCCCTCGCATACCCTTCCCAAAGCTTAATTAGTGCTTTCCCAGCTTTAGGAAGGAGGTGGAGGGCTCTAGAACCCTGCCAGAGCCTTGCACCTCCTTCCCAAAGCCAAGTAGCTGTGATGTGTGTCCCAAATTTTGGCCTTGCTTCCTCGTGCACACACACAAGGCAGTGTGTGGCCTGTGGGCTCCATGTTGAAGTACTCTTGTGGCCCACTTAGTATGGAAAGTTGAGCTGCCCTGATCTAAAATGTACCCCAAGGTATTAGCAATGTAATCTGCCTAATTTGCATACTGCTTCAAGAAATGTGGTTGAAAAATAGTCTAAACAACAAATACTATTTGAATAGTTTGAACACTTCCTCTCTCTTGCCCAATATTAGAGCAAGAAGCCTAACCACATGTGTGTGACGCTTACTTCAGATAGTTTGAACTCAAGAGAAGTTAAAGAGTTCATCACCTGAAACAACTGATAGGAAACGATTAGTTTTAGCATGCATTAAAAGCTATAGTAACTTTGGTGATTGAAGAAAACATTCAGGGTGTTTTAAGGCTCAGCTTAGCTCTTTGTACCAATATTCACATATGCAGCATTGGAAAGCTTGCAAGATTTAAGCCTTATAGATGAAAACCTTGCCTTCAATGCTATGAAACGAGTGGCTGGGACAATTGCCAGTATACAGCCACACAATCAGCTCCAGAAAAATGAATGTAGACATCCTACACCGAAAGTCTTAAAAGGGCAGGACTTTGTTTCAAGTGAGCAAGGGAAGACACTACCATAAGTGTCACTTAATTAAATCTGTTTAAAAGGCTATGCATGAGCTAGTTTTTGTGTTAGTGAGAAGCTGAACACTGATACAACAGAGCAGTTCTAAAGACTGCTTCATGGGAGGCAAAAGTAGCAGGTAAAGGTTTTATCCTTTAAGATGCAAGTCAGATTCTACGCCCCCCCCCCCATGTGCGCACCGTGGGCAGCTATACTAGCATATCCAGCTCTTGCTGTTGAAAACAGTATTCTTGCTAACATGTCAGATGCAACTAAGTGCTAACAGCAGCTCTTAATTTTAACAAGTGTTTCAGCAAAGGACTAAAGACAATTACCCCGTACTACAGAGGCCCATACATCCATGTGTGCAAAAACTAGTCAATGTAGACATTGACCTGAAGAACTTTCAATTAGTTAAATAGCAGCAAGAAAAAATGAGAACTGGTTTAGAGTGTTGCCCCAGATACAGAAGGACTTCTTTCCAAGTAGCAGCACCGGTAGGTATCAAGGAGGCAGCATTATCAGTAGGACATGGAACTGCCAGAAAACAATTAGGACTAGTAAAATATCACTTGAAATATTTTTGGGATTACATTTACTATTACATTTCCCAGTAGATGTGGAGTTCGTTCTCTCTCTCTCTCTCTCTCTCTCACACACACACACACACACACACACACTGCAAGAAAGAATGACACTAACTTTGAAGCTTACCCATGTGTTACATTCACATCAGCACAAGCTGACTACACCTGTATAAACTCTATAAAGTAATGGGGAAAGGTAACTTTGAAAGTCATCCAACTTCTTGCTTTGGGCTGTATCCAACCAATTTCTACTTAGAGCTGACCCTTTTAAATTAATGGACCCAATTCAGCCAGGGGCATTCATTTCAGTGAGTCTACTCCAAGACTTAGATTGCATATTTTTATAAGGGAAAGTAAGAACATATGAAGCTGCCTTATACTGAGTTGGACCCTTGATTGGTCATCTAGTTTTAGAAGTCTACTTTGACAAGCAGCAGCCGCATCCTTTTAGGTGGGAGTTATGAGGACTGAGTCTGGGATCTCTTGCATGCAACGCATATACTCTATCATAGAAATGTGGCCCCCTTAGAATGTGCACCCAGCAGTACAGACATTGATACTAAGGCATATTTTTTTATTGAGGCAGAAGGCATTGTGAATAGCCTAGACTTGAGGCAAATTTTGAGCAGTGTAGTAAGCTGATAATTACAGTTCAGGGAGAAAAGCAAACATACATTCACAGCTTTACTATCAAGACTACATCAAAACTGATAAAGTGCCACATTTGTGCTGACCCAACTCCATCTCATAGCAAGACAGTTCACCATATCCCATTTCAGAATTATGTGGGTGTGTTTTAAGCAGTTAATGTGCAGTGCAAAACGAGTCTTCCCAGTTTTCACCTTCCTTCACCAAATTGTTTAGAGCAGATCTATTGTTAACATTAGTATTCAGTCTTGATACAGCACAAATCCTGAGAATGTAGAGTACTTCCAACTACTTCCATAAATAGCTCCTCTATGGAGGCGTAACCAAATCTGGTCTCCCTGAAAAAGCTGGAGGACTGCATGATTACTAGCAGTCTCATGATCTGGAGCACCATCATTGGCATATGCAGATACTAGAATCTCTTCATTTTTCATCAGGTTCACATACAGCGGAACATTCACAGCCAACTTCAGCATATTGAAGAGGAACACATAAGTACCATTCACAGGACAACTAAACCTACCAAGATGGATATTAAAGGCTTCACCAAGATTGTGTAACAGGGAGTCAAATGTAATAGGTTGGTCTAGAGTTCCAGGAGTAAAGTTAGAAGTTCTACTAGCCGAAAAGGCAGCTCTGACTTGCTGTGGGAAGGCATAGATGTGCACAGGTACAAAGGTGGTTGCTTGGCTCGTCACTGGCATATCAACAGGAGTAATGCTGCGTGAGTCACCCTGCCCAGAGTCCCCACTGTCAAAAGTCTCACTGTCACGTTCTGGGCTGCTCACCTGAGAAGAATCGCTCCATCCTGTTGTTGAAGATTATGAGCAATGGTTAGTTCTGACGTAACCTTAAATTCAGTATTTCTAGCACTCGTTTGTTCAAGCTTGCATGTTTCAAGCAGTCGTTAAAAAAGACCTTGTGTATTAGTGACTAGACCGATCCCAGTTAGACTTGTACCTAGTTCTTACAAGTTTTTAATCATTTTTCTTCAAAGTGAGTGTGGAGATGAATACAATGTTAGAGAGGCGTGGGTGTGGGTTTCTCAGCTGCAAAGCAACTCCAGCTTCACTCAACCAACAAATATACAGCCTCTGGACTGAGTGTGTTCCTCATGCTGCTGCAAGCCAGCTATGCTTTGGTTGCTGTGCTTTATTCATTCTCCCCACCCCATGCTCACCTGCTCCAGTATTTGTTCAGTATTTTAAAAATCTTCCACTCATGGCAAGATAACCTCCAAAACACACAGTGGCTCCCTGACTGACAGCAGCTGGTGCTGTGCTCTGAAAAAAGCAGAGCTGCTTCCTGGCAAACACAAGGGCCAGTCTATCAGCATGCTGCAAGTCCAGATTTTCTCTTAACTCAAACAGCGTTCCCACCTCCTTACTCTGAAAACTGAATGTGTGTGTCAGATATGTAACAAGTGCACTTCCACAGCAAGCTTAGCGTTGAAATGATTCAAGCTTCTCTTCACCCAGAAAGAGTAGCAGAGGTTAAGATGACAATGCAATAGTTCTACTATTATGTTTATGGTGAATAAGCAGTGGCTACATGCTCACCTTGGAAATCAAGACAAATACTTAAATATCTAGTTAACAGAAAACACATTTTGGAGGGTGCAATATTCTTACTACCAAGAAAGGACATATCTTATAAATGTGTGTTTATTTAGTATAGAAAACCAAGTTACCAATATCAACTGAACTGTTAATCAACACTAACTGAACTGATGCATCCTCGTGGCCACAAGACTGCTTTCAGACTCTGCTTCCTTCCCATTTCTCTCAGTTTTCCTCAATTCCCTTCTTCTGAAGTATTCTCTAACACGAGTTCTACCTCGAGCTCTACCTGATGAGCAATTCTCTTCCTGTCTGTTTTCTTGTCTGTAACCTAAAATACAGAAGCTTTAAGGATTTTATAAACTCTGCACCAAGCTGCTAATATGGCTAGACTGGAGGAACAACTTCAGTACTTCTCCTTGATAATCTGAACAAACCATTAGGCCTACTTTAAATCACCTGTGTATAAAGTGGGCTTACTACTGGCTTGAGACAATAGTTACAGTGAAATGGTTGCTCTGAACTGTTTATTTAAGCTAGTCTTGGATTCTCTCAAGCAGAGGTTGACAACCTGGTCCCAAAGGCCAACTAGTGTGCATGTCAGGATTCTAGGTGGGTGGTAGGGGGTTCTACGGCACAAACTGAATCCTCCTTGCATTGAGCACTGGTGGGCGGTAAGGAAATTTTACCATCAAGAAAGATGCATTAGTGGGCAGTAGGTATAAAAAGGCTGACTACCCCTGCTCTAGAGAATATTTTCTAGTTCTTTTTGCTCATATGACTCTGAGGTATGGAGAAGGCAGAGAGAGAACACTGCCTTTCCATAAAGTTTCCTTTACAGATGGAACAGGACACCCAGTGATGGGCAACTCCCCATCCACCAGAGAAGGCAGAGGGAGATCTCTCATGGTGAAAGTACCACAGCTGAGAAAACCTCTCACAGTTAAAAGCCAAGTATTGAATAAAAATAAGACAAGAACAAATCCCAGGATCTACTACAAAGCTGGGATATTTGACCAATCCTCCTTACTTTGGCAAATGATGAGACATGATCTTCTCTCCTCCATCAAGGAGAGCAGGCTAACTCAACTGAAATGACAACTCTCCCCTTCCCCATCATCAATTTTTAATAGCTCTACAAATCATGTTCCTGGGCCAGAAAGAATTAGATTCATCTTGTGAGCAGAAATGGAGCCCATATGTTGCATAAGACAGTTGATTCCAGCCAAAAAACATATGCGGTGAAAGCACATCCGATTATTGTATGCAGCCCTATGTTGTTTTATTTCAGGTATTAAATAATATCTAGGACAGAACTGCATTTTAAGCAATGTTTGAAGTAAACTTACCCCTTGAGGTTGCCCGGCCACTACTAATACCACCTCGCTTATAGTTCTGCTGGTAATTCAAATCCTAGGAGAACACAAATATTTGTTCCTGTTTAGTCAAGCACCTCCAGACAATATTTACAGCCATATAACATCTACTTCATGGGGAAGGGGAGAGAGAAAAGAAAATTGCTACACAGTGGTACCTCGGTTTTTGAACGTAATCTGTTCCAGAAGAACGTTCAAGTTCCGAACGTTCAAAAACTAAAGCATTTACTTCAGGAAAACTCAATATGGAAGCTGTGTGGCATGTTCGACTTCCAAAAAGCATTCGAAAACCAAAGCAGTTACTTTCGGGTTTTCGGCACTCAAAAACCGAAACATTCGACTTCTGAGACATTCGAAAACCGAGGTACCACTGTACCAGCATTGAAGTTTATTGCTGCTTAGTAGACATCAGAAGTAGTTAGTCCAACATACTAAATTTCTACCAGCATCAACAGGATGCATATTACGCACCTATACTTTTAAATTAGAACGTTGGTGCAGTACACGCCGCCATGAATGTTACTTCTTATTGGGTGTGGGAGGTGTCCAAGTGGGTTATGATTCCTTCTATTGCTCAGAAGGAAGGAAACATGATCAGATTTCCCCCCTTTCTCTACTGGTGTGGTTCTGTTCCAAGGCAGAGGTGATGCCGAAACAACTTTGTAATATGAGACAGTGTGAGAGACAGAGCGTGCACTGAAGAACGAAGACGAGGAGGAAAAGAATAAAACAGTGTGGCCTGGACCTACTGGTTTCCAAAGCTGAACTTTCAAGAAAAAAAGGCTAGCTAGAAGGTAAAAAAAATATTCTGAAGCATGTATGTCCAACTTGCAATGGTGTATGAAATGTGGCCTAGTGTGGTGTATGAAATGTGGTGTATGAAAGGCTGCCAATGTGTAGTGTGTCATGGTGCTGGCAGGTGTAATCACTCATAGAATACAGAATGCAAGTCTTTAGCCACTAGGATTGAATTAAAGCCTTTCCCCTACTGTAGTTAGGCAAAGGACATAAGATACTGTTTTGCGTAAAGGCAATTGTGTGGGAATGTTGATCTTGAGGACCCAGACATTCAGCTTCTGCCAGGCCCACTCAGAGAGGTGAGATGGTTTAAGAGTTGGATGAGGAGAACCGGTTACTGTGCTCCATGGAAAGACAAGCTGCCCTTAGGAACGAAGGTCAGGTCAGTACAGAATATTGCACCGGTGGTCATTGCTGGCAACAGCACTGAGTTCCAAGATTCTCCAGACTGTTGTGATGGCCATGAGAAAAAGCACACTAATTGACTGACCAAGGGAGCTCAAAAGGCAGTTTTTATAGTGCATTGATGCCCTTGTGGATACCTCCAGGTGGGGAAACCAGTGGCCTTAGGTATATGTTTTAGGGTGGTGTGACTGCATGGCACTTTGATGCACACCTCAACTATGCATCTCCATCCTTTGGGAGGATAGCTCCAGTCAGGAGCAGTGCTCCAGGGGCACCCACTCCTGAGTAGTATTGGGAGAGGACTCCAGGAGAAAGAATATGATCAAATCTTTCCTGCCTTCAAAGCAATAGGAGGGGTCATAATCCACTTGGACACCTCTCATGGCCAACCCTTGCTCCAGTATCACTGCAGCTGACTGAATGTGCTTTATTAAATTGATATGAGTGTATATTCCTTGAAAGTGGAGCAAGTTGTAATACCATTGTAGCTATCCATCAGCACACTGGGAACTCAAAGATAGCTCCATGACACACACATTAACCCAGGCATGGCCAAACTTGGCCCTCCAGCTGTTTTGGGACTACAATTTCCATCATCTCTGACTACTGGTCCTGTTAGCAAGGGATTTTGTGAGTTGTAGTCCTAAAACAGCTGGAGGGCCAAGTTTGGCAATGCCTGCATTAACCCAATAAACTTGAGAGATATAAACGTAAGTCATGTTCTCAGAGTTAGGATGGGAAGCATGAATACTGAATATATTCAGCCCTTTCTAGATGGCATTTCAATTAAAATTAGTCCCTACTAAATGATACATTACAATACTCCTCTCAGTCTGGTAAGTCAAATTTGCAAAGCACCATTAACCTGACTATGTGCAAATAAGTACTTGTTCTTTATTCCTGAGCAGAATCCAGGACACCACCACCAAGGGTCATGTATACTTTCGCAAAGCCAAAGTCTTCCAGAATAATTACCCTGTGAGGATACTGCACTGAAGGATAATCTCTGCCAGGAAGATGCATTTGGCTATAAAGGCCATTAGGAACAGAAGGTGATCCTCTGTAAACTTCAAAACCTGCTGAACAAAATATGAAATCTTTGCTTTAAGAACTAGAATGATTTGACAGATTGATCTCCGTGTCATCCCGTAACGCATTGGAGAACTCTGGTAGTTCCCTCCTAGGGGCAGGTCAAATACCCAATACGTTGCTGAGTACTGAGAGGTTCCGACTCTTATGTCATAACTTTGTTTTATGGGTAAAGAGTAACTAGGAAGTTTATCTAGTAATTACAGTGTTAGAGAACTCTTCCTGTGTTAGAAAATTAAGGAGTTTATGACTCACTTTGGCAGCCAGCATTTTCAGGCAAAGGAGCAATGCTCAGTAACTATGTATCTGACTTCAGTTTGAGCACATGCTTACAACCAAAGTTATTTAGGGTCATTAACACTTAAACTGATATTCACCTAGTTTGCTATACCAAATAGCATCCCGGAATTACCACCAACCAAATACATGAGTGTTTCTTGTTGAGGTCAAAATCCAACTAGATATGGACAACAAATACTGCATTTGATCTTTTGGCTCAAGTTTCTTCCTTTTCACATGATACTACTATTTGGTGAAAGTCACTTAAAAAAACAAGACTAACATTGTGGTTGATATGTACGGAGTTATATTGTAACATATGCAATAAACAATTCTTCTCAAAGAAATAAAATTCTTTAAAAAAAAACAGCTTAAAAAACAACCCCCTGCTTTTAAAGTAATGGATCAACTTCATAGATATCTTATTTAGGCACTTGAAAGTTGCCCGTTGAGTGCCTGCCTTTTCAACCTTAAGTTATCAAGCAGCTTACAACAGAGCACCACGAAAGGGTTTGATGCACAGATGCACAGGCAGATGGCTGCTCATGAAATGGGACTTCCCTCCTTCTATTTGTGCATGGTGCACTTACCAATTTTAGCATTTGACTCCATTCTAACCTCAGCCTCTGTGCTGCAGCCACACTTTAATGAAAGGTCCCAACTGAGAGACTTCAGGGAACACGGCGTTACAGCAGAGGAGAGACTAGGAAACCCTGTTGCTCAAGCAACTAACTGCTAACACAGCTTTGATCCAACCCAATATGTCTTACTATTAAAAAACAACAACCATGAGCTAATAAAGTTTTAAAGTTCAGCAGTTTGAATGTTGCCCTTTACTATGTGGTTTTTTGTATTGGCCAACTATATTCTACTTGTACAATGTTAAGATATATCCACTGGTAAGTATTTCCACAGAAACCATACATACCTTTATAGCCACCAGGAGAGCGATATGAATTGGTTGCTGACCTTCCACCTCGAACGGTGCCTCTGACCGATCCACGGCTTGTGACAAAAGGTTGAGGTGGTCTAGAGAAAGTGGGCGTCTGTGCTGCATAAAAGGTGAGAATACCATTGCTTACAGGAACAGCTCTCTCAACCAGGTACTTTAAAAATAGCCTTATAATTTTCTGCATAAAAGCAGGAGTTTCCCTTATTCCTTCACCCAACCTTTAGCAGCTAAAGACTTTCAAGATAGTTTGCAAGTCTTTATTTTGAACAGCTAGAATGATCTCCCCTATTACTGGCAGTTACAATTAACCAAACCACTTCTAGAGCTTTAACAAACTAAAGTTTTACAGATATGTTATCCACCTGCCTCCTTGAAAATCTAATCATGTTTATCATAACAAGTAGTTAATGCAGTTATTTCCAACAATACTTTACTTCATCAAAGGCTGTCACATCAATAATTTGGACTTATTTTTAGAATTTAAATCTATACTCCACCCCCTCAAATATAGGACAGTTTGCAGTAGAAAACATAAGTAGCCAAAGTTAAAAAAAAGAGCAACAAAAGTTGAAAGCCTAAGAAAATCTTCACCTGGCCCAGGAAGATTTAAGGGTGTAAGATTGCAGCTGAATCAGGCCAAAGGCCCTTTTGGTTCAACATTCTGTTCTCACAGTGGCCAACTAGATGTCTACCTATTGTCCTAGCAGGGCATGTGAATAATAGTGCTCTCTCCACCTGAGATTTCCAGCAACTACTCTGGTATTCAGAGGCATGCTATGACAGTGGGGGCAGGACACAACCACTGTGGCTATTGACTACTGATAGGTTTATCCTCCGTAGGGTATTGTTAAAGAAACAGTCCCAGCCAGCACAGTACAATTTTTTCACTACGTGTCAGATAAGATCATGTTTCCTTGGAGATGGGCAGTTGGATACTGCCAAGTCATCACTCTTCAGTCCTTTTCTACTTCTGCTTTTATAGCCACTAGCAGAGTGCCTTGAAATCATTTGGGTTAAATATTGTAAGGCACCCCTATTACTGAGGAATCAATCAAGTTGTACTAGAATCATAGAATCAGAGTTGGAAGAGACCACAAGGGCCATCGAATCCAACCCTCTGCCAAGCAGAAAACACCATCAGAGCACTCCTGACATATGGTTGTCAAGCCTCTGCTTAAAGACCTCCAAAGAAGGAGACTCCACCACACTCCTTGGCAGCAAATTCCACTGTCGAACAGCTCTTACTGTCAGGAAGTTCCTCCTAATGTTTAGGTGGAATCTTCTTTCTTGTAGTTTGGATCCATTGCTCCGTGTCCGCTTCTCTGGAGCAGCAGAAAACAACCTTTCTCCCTCCTCTATGTGACATCCTTTTATATATTTGAACATGGCTATCATATCACCCCTTAACCTCTTCTCCAGGCTAAACATGCCCAGCTCCCTTAGCCATTCCTCATAAGGCATCGTTTCCAGGCCTTTGACAATTTTTGGTTGCCCTCCTCTGGACACGTTCCAGTTTGTCAGTGTCCTTCTTGAACTGTGGTGCCCAGAACTGAACACAGTACTCCAGGTGAGGTCTGACCAGAGCAGAATACAGTGGCACTATTACTTCCCTTGATCTAGATGCTATACTCCTATTGATGCAGCCCAGAATTGCATTGGCTTTTTTAGCTGCCGCGTCACACTCTTGATGTCCCCATTACCATTCTTGCACTGAGGTTTTCCTTACCATTTGGCAATGCATCTTGAGAAAAAGCAGTTTGTTCAACATTTTGAGTAGACTGTGGTTTACACTGGGGTGGAGTCTGTGTACTTGCTGTACAAAAATTCTGATTATATCCTGTAGGATGCAAAGAGTTCTCTTTTATATCCCGCTCCCTGCGAGGTGGTAAAGGCGCATTCACTTTGAACACCTGCAACACAACACACAATTATGCAAAAAAGGGCTATTTTTACAGTGTTTCTATAGGCCACATGCATTATCAAGTCTGCCCCATCTTGTGCTGTGTAGTCTACACAGAGTAGAAATTTAAGTATTTTCCATTTACGCTGGAGTGGGGGTGTCTGGTGCCATGGCCATATCACATTCTACCAGGAATTTGCAATTAATTTCAACTAAGTATTAAGACTGGTACTCCTTATTCACAGGGGTTCTAGTCTCAAAGCTGCAGAACTTCAAGTAGGAACTGTAAAACAGCAATTGTATTATTAGGTCTAAATGCAGCTGTAAGCATGCAAAAAATAAAGGGATCCCTTCAGGGAATGCTTCTCTTGTAAACTTGTAGTAAATACATCTGCATCTGCTTAAAAATAATAGTTCCTACTAAACATGTATCCTCTATTATACAGGGTGCTCTGTTGTTTCTGAGGAGACCCTGGATTTAGCTTCTCCTTGTTTATGTCTAGCTTTTGCCCTCCCATCTAATTGCATTCACCTAGACAGCCAATGTACTTACAATCTGCACAGCCTGAAAGGGAGGTGCTTTCATGCTAACACTACTACTTGGGGAAGGAGACTGGAAACCCTTCCCTTGGGGTACTGGTGACATGGTAGTTCTTGATGGAGTCAATGATGTCTCTAATTCACTTGAAAGAGGAATAGGAACCTTGAAGGAAAAAATAGTAATATTCTATTGTCATGCCAATGGGAAAGCCATTTACACTGTTAAACCCTATGCTGTCAAAACACCAGCAGTTTCTGCAAGCCAATGATTGGGCATATCAAAGAACAGAATAACTTCTACTTCGTTTGCTCTTGCTGTGCATTTGGAATTTCCATTAGTCTCTGCTGACTATGTCAAACATGTTTGAGCTAGATGTGTTACCACTTCAAACATTTACATACAGAAGTTTAACATGATGGAGATCCTTATGGCAATGAACTCGCATTTTAAAACTTACTAGTTTTCATTTTCAGAGATCAACATTATATAGCAAAGGGATAGCAAACATGGTCCCCCTCCAGTTGCTGTTGGACTACAACTCTCATCATCCTTGACCAGCCATGCCAGCTGGGGCCAACATATCAAGGGAACAATATTTACCACCCCTGCAATAACGGCACACTTTCTTATCAGTCAAATTCTTACAGTATGTGTCAAACTCACCTGAGAAATTTCAGATTTTTTAGGCTTTAATACTTCACCAATCTCTTTGCTTATCTGATAAAAGGAGTGAGGTGGACTGAAGTTCTCAGACTCTTGAGAATTTGTAACAGATGTCTAGAGACATAACCAGATAGTTACTAGTTACTTAAAATGGAAATAAATGCTTGCAAGAAAGTGTGCCCAGATTACGCATGGTATTTTGGAAGATGCTGGGACTCAGTTATTACAGAAAGTATATCCTCTTACTACAGGCCTAGATATCAATATTGAAGTTAGGTAAACTCTGAAATGAATCCAAGGCTGCAACCCTTACATCATTCCACCATAATGACCAACTGGCAAAAATACATTTGCTTCTCAGTCAATACTGCATGCATCAAATAACTGTTGTATTTCACTTAATTTCCTTCCCCACCAAATATCACCTAAGAGGAATGAAGTTAGTGCAAATTCACTAGAAGTGAATTCCCTGTTGTTTCAACTACAAGCAAGCTGTTAAGTATTCATATCGTTTGCAAAAAATGATAATAGTCACTTCCTTATTCAATAGCTATCAGTAGCTTTAGCACTGTAAATTGACATATTCTGGTTTTCAGTTTCCCTTGTATAACACAACTAGAGCTGTATCTTAATTGGCAAAGTACCAGTTGCAAGATCAAGCTACATCTTCAGATACTACAATCATTTAACTTCCAAGCAATAGTGGTACCTCGGGTTAAGTATTTAATTCGTTCCGGAGGTCCATTCTTAACCTGAAACTGTTCTTAACCTGAAGCACCACTTTAGCTAATGGGGCCTCCTGCTGCCGCTGGAGCACGATTTCTGTTCTCATCCTGAAGCAAAGTTCTTAACCCGAGGTACTATTTCTGAGTTAGCGGAGTCTGTAACCTGAAGCGTATGTAACCCGAGGTACCACTGTATATCTAACTATATTATAATTAAGCAAATATATTTATTTGGGAAGAATGCTTCAAAGAGTCCCAGGGCCAACCCACCTATTTTTTGATAGATAGACAGGGTGGTCAGCTCAGTTTCATTGAATAATTTGCCTTACTGAAAACTGTTCAAGTTTATATTATCAGAATTTCAATTTACTGAAGTGTTATCTTGTAAATGTAAAAACTCTGTTATAGGGATACATATGGGTAAATTCCAAGCCTGGTTCACACATCACATAAAACCGCTGTTAACTTTAAACTATGCCTTAATGTGAACAAACGGCATGTTGGTTCATACTACTCAAGACCCTGCTTTGCTCCTCCTTGACAGTACAACAGCGGGGGGGGGGGGGGAAGTTGGCTTCGTTTGATATGCCTTCTCCCAGTAGGGACTTTTCTCAAAGCCACACCAGCATTTGCTGCACACCAACCTGTCACATTCAGTATCACCTGGCATAAGCTGCTCCCAATGTGTGCCTGCCCCATTTCTCAGAAATACCAAACGAATGAAGGTCAGAAATAGGCACCCCCTCATTAGAGGGCAACAAGTTAATCAGGATCAAGGGCAAACTCTAAAGAACAATCAGTAACCTGTGGTGTCGCAAGTTCAGTTTCTGATCCAGACAGTGTATTGTCAGAAGTTAAGGAGGTGATTGAGCCGTGCAAGGCTATGGGAGAAGCAGCAACCTGTCAATAGAGGGATATACAATGTAATATATAATGTAATGTACAGTAGACTTCATAGTTTGAAAAAATTCTTGAAAATATTACTTAGGACTTCCAGTTTTTGCTGCCATGGTGAACAGCGGTTCCCACAATAGCAGACCCTGGGCATGCAGCCAATTAAGGATAATTTGAGAGTAATTATACTTGCAAACCCCCCCCCCCCACTGGGTTGGAGAGAGGAGAGCTCTCACTTGCAGATCGTCCAGTACCTGCCTCCCACTCCTGCGGAATGCATCCAAGTTGCATGGCACACACATCAAAAGCCCCACTACTCTCTTGGAACAAGCTGCATGGTTCTTTAGGTCCTAGCCACTGTGCCTCCTAAAAACTGTTTAAGCCAAAATGGCAAGCCACATTTATACCCCCATCTTTTTAGAAAGTTACTCAAGGCCAGCCATCCCCAACCTGCAGCCCTCCAGATGTTTTGGCCTACAACTCCCATCATCCCCAGCTAACAGGACCAGTGGCCAGGGATGATGGGAATTGTAGTCCAAAACATCTGGAGGGCCTCCAGATGGGGATGCCTGCTCAAGGCAGTTTATGCAGTCAAGATACAAAAATACATTCCAAATAATCAATGCATGTTTGACATGCATTGTGACAAATGGCTTACCACTCTTACCTGAACCGGTTCCTCAGGGAAATCATTTTGGCTTGAAAGTTGTTCATTAGGTGCTACAAAATATGGGAACATTTGGTTATGCCCTTTCTACACATGAAACTGCTCTTCAAATATCAGAGTTGAACTACCACCATTGTATGCCTGATGCTAGATAATCTATTAAGACAATGCTAACATATAAGCTTTTATTTAAATATATAAGTATGTTTACTGATACTTGAAAATGGAGTTGTAAAAAGTCAGCAAGATGTACAAATCAAAATAAAATAAAAACCATAATAACTGTGACTGAGTGGAGTACAGAGGTTGTTTACAATATGTTCATCTTTATATTAAGTAATAAATATGGAGCGACTGTCCAGAGTTGACATCTGAATGAAATCAAATCACAAGCCATCAACAACAACAAAACATCAGCTGAGAAAGGGGACAGTCCGAGACATGTCTAGGCCAACCAAAGAGTCTGCTGGGAGGAAGGGAGGTAAATACTCCCTCTATAGTGATGTATGAGTCATTGGAGTTTTGTACAATACAATATTGTTGGTTATTAAAGTTGTAAATAGAAACTATACTATTTCAAAATATCTGCAGTGGTAAAGTCAGATGCTCAGACAATACAATTTCCCATACACTCTCTAACCATCCAGTATGTGTAGGACCAACAGAAAATCTCACTTGAGGTTTTACATTTAAGAGAATTAGTTCTCATTTAGTGACTATTTGTGTCAAGATCAAGGCCCAAGTTTCAAAGTTTTAAAAAGTGAAATTCAAAGATAAAACTTTTGAAGAAATTTCTAACAGGAAGAATTAAGTTCTGCTCCAGTATCAAGCAAAATTTTGGATGCAATGTAATTTAAGAAAATGTGTTTCACAATTTACTGCTTAATAGAAATAGAGGCTTTAAGAAAATAATGAATTAAATTAAAGTTTATCTCTTTTTTAACAGTATATCTCTGCACAATCTGTATAGTGTGTCTATTTATTTATTTCTGGTGGTGGTTGAAGTGACCATAATGGTTGTAACAACAACAAAAATTGAATTTAAATTAAAGTTTGCATACAATACTTCTAAGATATACCATGAAGTATTAATCTCACCTATCGAACATCTTTGTCACATAGATTTAATAATTTGTTGCTATGCCAGTCTTTTCTGCTTTATGAAAGTGATAAGAGATTCCTAGAACATGAAACAAAATAGGATCTTCCTTGTTCACCATTAACCACAATTATGATTACCTGTGGAATCAACTGAAGGTGCTTGTGATGAACAAATGGCACGTTGTGAAGGTTTATCAAAATCCAGTAAAGACTCCTTAAAAACAAAAAAGTTACAAGTCTTGCACTCTTGAAAAAAACAATAATCTATTCAGAGATGAATAAAAGTTTACATGTTTCGTGGTGCATTTTAACCTCTGAAAATTGCCTTCAGCAATTAAAAACATGTGCCATTAAAATACCTGAGACCTTAACACCAACTGATGCCCTCCTTTTCATTTTTTCCTTGCGCTCACCATCCATTAGGTACCTATCATACTCCCCCAAACTCCATGTTATCCAGGACAACTTACTTGCATGAAATTATAGGTCCCTTGTATTTGAGTCATCAGGTCTTGTAGTCTTTCCCTTCTTAATATTGGATCCTTTGGAAGACTAGTAGAGCAAAACTCTGCAACTGGTTGATGAACAGGTTTAGGTGCCTAATAATAAATAAATAAATAATAATAATAATAATAATAATAATAATCGCTGAGGAAAATGTTAGTTGAACTATTCAGAGTAGGCAAGATTCCCAGAGTGCTTTTTCCAGTATGCTACTGTATGGGTTAAAGCATGGATAGGCAAACTAAGGTCCAGGGGCCGGATCCGGCCCAATCGCCTTCTAAATCCAGCCCATGGACGGTCCAGGAATCTGCGTGTTTTTACATAAGTAGAATGTGTCCTTTTATTTAAAATGCATCTCTGGGTTATTTGTGGGGCATAGGAATTCGTTCTTTTTTTTTCCCCCTTCAAAATATAGTCCAGCCCCCCACAAGGTCTTAGGGACAGTGGACCGGCCCCCTGCTGAAAAAGTTTGCTGACCCCTGGATTAAAGGCTTTGTTGGTGCTGAAGTCAAGTTACTATTTTAACAGGAGGTCCATTCATACCTTTCCTGAAGTAGACCTCTTCCTGATATTAAAATTAAAAATGTCCGGATTTTTAAACACTGATCTACTACTAAGGCTATGAATTGATTCCTGAGACACTCAGAACTTAGGAAGCTGCCTTACAGAGGGCAGACCACTGTTCTGTCTATCTCAGTAATGTCTGCACTGACTGGCAGCAGCCCACCAGGAATTCAGACAAGGGTCTTTTCCCAGTCCAACCCAGAGGTGCCAGGAATTGAACCTGTGGCCTCCTGCATGCAAAGCAGATGCTCTACCACTGAGCCATGGCCCTATGTAACAACTTAAACAGTTTTTCTTTGGTTTCAAATTCTCCTTTCCCTGGGAAGATTCAAAGTGGATACTTCACACAGGAAGTATTCCAGCTGTTCTCAAGATTCTAAGTTTAAGCATTTTGAAGCATTTCCTATGATCAGTATGACCAAGAAAGCAAACCTGAAGGCTGTTTTCAAAGCTCCTAGGTAGTTTACAAGGTTCTCCAACAGACGTAGCATCAATGCCTCCTTCATTCATTCCATCTGTCTTTTCATCCTATGTAAAATAAGAATTCCATGTATTAGATTATTATAATATGACTTAGCAATGTACAACTTTTACATAAATACACCACAGACTCCGTGTTCTACACAAAGTATCAGATTAGCTAACTTTTCAAAGCCCCATTACCTAATGGCATTTTACTGTAACCACTTGTTTCATGTCAGAATCAAACTTCAGTCTGAGCTCTTATTTCTATATTGAAAAGCATTTAGAAATATGTTTTGACAAATTAATTAAGTAGAGATCAGTCCTACAGAAGGATCTCAGCTGATTGATAAGGTTGGTGAGCCCTACCTGCCACTCACTTCCCTCTATAGCACAAGCAGAAACCACTTTGACTGTTGGACCCACTATTAGTCTTGTTTGTTCAATCTGCAGAGACTGTCTTTGCATGCAGGGAAGTCCCTAACTCACCAAGGGGTTGAGACCCATTGGCTACCCTTACCTTCTCCTTTAATCCTACCAACCCTGTCATGTAGGTTAAAAAAAGCCTTCCAGATTCATTATCCTTCCCTCATTTTTTAATTATAGAAATCCAAAACTGATCCAAACTTGGAGGTCTATGTCTATATTCCTCCCTGCTCTATTCCTCTATTATATATTACTCCCCATTTTTGAACATGTAGAATCTTCAAGGTTTGTGATCAGCAATGCTAAGTTCTCTCCCCCCTGCCATTCCAAATATGAACTTGGCAAAAATTCACTGAACAGCAAACTATTTACACCCCTTTAGGTTTAGTTTATTTCCATGTCCAAATATTTGCGGAGAACCCTGTTTCATGTAGAGTTAGACTACTGTGGCAAAAAATAAGCTGTCCATTGACAAAGCCCAAACTTTGAACTTTTAGATACATCACTACCCCAAACTGCAGTTTTAGTATAAAAATATTCTACAGGCAATACTATTGTTTATATCAACTCACTTCACTGGGTCCCAAATCAGGCTTCTTTGGCCCAGATTGTTCCTTTGAGGTAAGATTTCCAGCTCCCCATATCTTTGGAGGGTTCTGTAATGGCTTCTGAAGTGCTTGCCGTGGTCCCTCAGATGTTTCCCAAACCTTTGGGGGTTGGGTTTTTTGTTCCCTCTCTTCCTTGATGTGTGCTACCCATTGTTTTGCAGGTTCGTGTTTCTTTTGCTCCTCCTCCTCTCCAACACATGCACTCCAAAGCTTCACAGGTTCCGGTTTTTCCACCCTTATTTGAGCAACCCATGTTTTTGGACATTGTGGCTTTTGTTCCTGCTCTTCCTTCGCTTTGCTCATCCAGTGTTTAGGGGAGGCCCGCTGTTCTCTAACCTGAGTTACCCATGGCTTCAGAACTTCCTCCTTGTGATCATCATCACCTTCCTTAAGATGAGCTTCCCAAGGCTTTGAAAGTTCCAGTTTCTTTCCCTGCTGCCTTACAGATTCCAGAGTTTTAACATAATCTTGTTTCTGCTTCTGCTCCTGCTCTTCCATGTCAACAAGCATTTCCCATGACTTTGGAGGTTCATTTGTTTTAACATGTTCCACTTCCCAAGGTTTGGATTCCTCAGGCTTCTTGATAGGGGAGTCAGCTTCAGGCAAATAGTGCCTATTAAGAAACTATACAAACCAAAGAAACTTAGTATTTTACCAGTACTCATCTTATTGCTAGCACAATTAAAATGAAATCATGCCAGAACGTTGTTGTACAAGAGTCACCCAACAGGATTGAATTGTACATTTCCAAAAATGTTTGTAAATCTGTGTGACAGTGAACCGCCCTAAGATCTTATGATGAAGGGCAGTATATAAATTTAATAAATAAACGTCGAGATCTTCAGACATAAAGACAAAACACTTGCTTTCAGATTTACAAAATGTTACTGTGCCATCCTGAATACTCATTATATGGTTCTCTTATTGAGAACATCTGCTGTAGCTTCCTGGCTAGTTTATATCCAGGATTCTTGAAAGAGAGAAATATGCCTTGTTTAAGACCACAGCAAGGTAGATGGCTTGGTTCAAAAACCACAGTGATAGCACAGAAAATCCACATTGTGCTAGAGACTATGCCCATAAACCTTCAAAGTTAAACAGGCAGCTGGTTGTTAATTCTACCTCACTGCACCCTGTCTCAAAGTCAAAGGATTTATGGACTCCCATTTGGCAATTGCCTTTGCTGGAGCCTTGTTACAAATTTCTTCAAGTGGAGCTTTCTGAAGAGATTCCTGTATTATCTCCAGTTTTTAGTTCTAGAATCACTGCACTGATATAGCAAGCTATTCTGCAGTTTAACACTAATTTCTTCTACTGTAGCATATCATTTAATAACTTACCTCTTGAGGCTGTATCTCAGACTGAATGTGCTCCATTTGAGGTGCTAGGAAGAAGGATTGCATAACTTAGATTCAAGTTCTCACAAAGCCAAATGATAGAAAACAGTTTACTTCTCTAAGCATCCATAGCACATTCACTTATGCAGGGGATGGGGGGGACACACACCAAACAAAATGACTTAACATTTCAGGCTAGTCTAGCAACCACCTCTTTGAGAATTTGCTAATGTCTAGTATTATAGTAAGAAGTCACACAATTTCTTCTGTATTTCTTACTAAATACATTTAGTAGGAAAGTTTAAAATTAATCCCAAACAGCTAGGACTGTTTTATTATTGTGGTACAATTGATTTTAACCACCAATAAAGCCTAAATAAGGTGAAGAGCAGAATATACATAACTTATTTAGCTAAAAATTTAAGCTATATAAATTGACATGAAAACTTAAGACATACATCTGAAGTACTGTATCAGCAGTTAAGAATTTAAGATTTCTACAAATATATTACCTGATTCACTGACATGCTCTGAATTTGAGGGTTGTCTTGTTCTTTCAGGTCTTTGCATTTCTTCACACAACTCAGGTCTTGTAGACAGTTCTTTTGATTCCTCTTTTACTGGTATGTTGGAAGGAGCAGGAGTTTTTTCAAAATAGCCAGAATTTAACAGTTTAGATAACAAATCCTTCAGGTATTTATCTAGAGGACAGAGAGTTGAATGTTAAGCAGATTAAAAGATCACAAAATGAGTTTTCAGTTTGGGGATATGACACCATCTCATCTTAAATAAAGATCAAACGTTTTTTCTTGGCACAATATATTCTTGGAAATGTTTTAAACTAAATGCTTAAGAGGATCTTTGAAATGGCAATGTAATTCAAGCATTTCAGTTAACCAAAAGACCAAAGAAAATTACAGTTGTGAACACGGAGAACATCCACAGAACACCCTTGATTTCAAGAACTAATTTGCTTATTGGTAAAAGACTGTCATATCCTCAAAGATTAAAAAAATAATAATGCAGTCTTGGGAAGTTATCCTGAGATATACTCTGAAGAATATATGCCTTAAACACAGGGATGCTGAACTTATAATTGGTTAAAAGACCAATTTCCCTATCCAGCAAATCTCCTGTAGTCACACCCATAAATGTACTGGTCTACCTTAATTATATACCAAGATAAAACATGGTTCCTGCAGCTGTGGGAACTCACCTGTTATTAAACACTTAACACATAAATGCAATCCCATGTACAGTACATCTACATAATATTGTGGCTTGCTTATTAAGCAAAATGACTTCCCACCCATGATAACAGACTGAGCACAATGCCTCTAGCAGTACTTCCTCTTTGCATTCCTTGCACACACACAAGGTCTGTTCTGGAGAGTTGGGAGTCTTCTGGAGCAGATTGTGGGTGCAGAGAGAGGAAAGGAAGAGGAGGTTCTGTCATGTTTGTTCATGCCATATTGGATATTGCCATAAATGTGCAATGGGGAACTACAGGCCTTGCTAGGGATCTCTAAACAGTTATAAACAATCTGCATTTATGTTGCCCTAACCAGGCAACAGCAGTTACTGGCCTAGAAAATAATTCTTTCAAGCAATGGAAGGAACAATATAAGTATGTTTCTGAACTGGAATAAATGTTCTAATCCCAATCTTGCTATGAAGTATTTTGCCTGAAGACGGTAGACGTTAGATGCAAAAATATCTAAAGGCTACTCACAAGTTGTCCCAGCTACTGTTTTTTCACTGCCTTCTAGCAGATCCCAGAAGTAGCGTGATGATTGCTCCATTTGGTCTTCAACACTTCATGTCAGAGGGGAAAAATAAGTGTCAGTGCTAGATCAAGAAAGTAATGAACTTTTACTTAAGATGGCAGTTTGATATAATAGGGATGGCAGAGTACCTTGTACCCTATAAGCAGCAACTGGTTTTTTTGCTCAGAATTGACTGACGTAATTAAAAACATCCTTTCGCCAGTTATGCCAACACCATTTCACCAATTTAGTTATAAACCACTTCCTATGAGACATTTTGAAACAGTTTAATGATAAAAACATCAGTTTTTAGTAAGTCTCAGTACCAGTTTAACAGGTACAAGTGCACAGTTTCTTTCAAAAGACCTGAAAGCCAAGTATATTTTGCCTGCAAATGCAAATTGTATTCCCTTCAGGCTATCTAATAAGTTTTAATAATAATAAGACTTGTAAAGCTCCATTCCAAGTTGAGCCTAAAGATCTGCCAAATCACTTGTTAAGTTGAGAAAACAAGTAATTCTAACTGAATTAATTTAGAACTGTTTCATTTTACTGTAGATAACTTCTTCAAAAACTATTTTAGCAACCACAAAATAGCCACAAACTGGTGATATTCAGAGTCCCCCTCCCCCACAAAAAGAGACAACACACATACACAATTCTCAAAAGAAATAAAATGTAGGGGTGTGTGGAGGGGAGAACAGGCAATTCTTCAACTAAACCAAAACACTCAAATTTTAGAACAACAATTTGAGCAGCAGGAGGTCTTAGCAGATGCCAATAGGGTCTCTCTTGAGGACAGCAACACTAAGGTTTCTGGGAACAATAAGCACATCAGCCTGGATTTGCCCAGCATGGCTTTGACTACATTATGGCAAAGTTCTGAAAAGGCTCAATTAAAAACCCAAATTTGCAAATTAGAAGTTGATACCACTGGTATCCCCAAGATTAGCCAGTAGTCTGTGTTGCACATGCAATATGATTTCATTTAGTGTTGCATATGAAGTCTCCTCATTCAGAGAACTAAGCCACAACATCTCAGTTCAGTCCTCAGAATACATATTATGGTGCTCCATTAGTTGTTCAGACAATTCTGTAAGTTGTCCCCTGAGTAGTATTTGCTTGAAGAGTTTTATGTTTATCCCAGTCTTTTTTGGGGATAAACAAACATGTGAAAGCCACAAAGCCAGCTTTATCAGCCTTGTAACCCTAAGGCAGCTTTCCCCAACCTGGTGCCCTTGCTAGACAACAACTCTCATCATCAATCATGTTGACTGGGGCTGATGAGAACTGTAGACTACCACCACCTGGTAGACTACAACCACTCCAGGTTTAAAAAGGCTGCCCAAAGGAATAATATATATATTACTAAACACAAAGTTCTGTAAAACAAACTATGCCAAGCACTGAGCACCAGGATGGCTGGGCACTTGTTGACATGCTGTGACTTAGAAGGGATCCACTACCAGGAGTTGATTGGCTCCTGCCATTCTTGCCCCATCATATGTAAAGGAACAATGAAGCAACAGCAGCAAAAAGAAGAAACTGCTTGTCACTGTTAGATCCAATTCCCACCACTATCTTAAGCGACAAACAACTGCTCCCTTAACAGTGGGTGCCCCCTCACTTTGCAGGCAAAAACCTGCTAACCTCGCTCTCTCTGCAGTAAGAAAATGACTGCAGCAAGGAGGAAACAAAGCACCAGCAGCAAGGAGGCTGGAGGCAGCTCATCCAAAGAGCTATCCTGAAGGGGCCTCCTATGCGGAAAACTCATAATGTTTCAAAACTACACTTCTAATAAAGCTAAACGTCCAAATGCTAGCACAGATTCGCTTTGCAATTTAAGTAAGGACACATTTACTTACCTCACGCCTTCATTTCTTCCTGAGCAGGTCAATTTTGCAAAATTAATGAGGTAGTCTAGTTCTTTAGAAGACAAAAATATTGCGCCATTCAAGCCACATTTGAAGTCTTTCTGCACGTGCTCTTGAGTGAAACTCTGCAACACATACTGGACCTGCAGTACTGTGCGGAGTTTCTTCTTCTCTGCTTCAAGCTTCATTATACTCTCCCTTCTCTGTGCTTTCCTCTGTGCTTTCAGAAGCTGTATTAATATAAAAACAAAACAGGCATATTACACAAGTTCCTGACAGATCCAACCAGCAGCTGGACTGTAGCTCAGAGAAGTCAATCCAAAGTCTTACCTAAGTCATCTTCCTAAATGAAGGTGCTAAAGATTTTTCCTCAAGTCTCTAACAACACCTTTCAACTTCTACAATCATTCCACTTATCATACAACAAATGTTCAAAGCTTAAGTTTCTGGGTAGTGTTTCATATCAGGGTAGGATGGAATGACAGGGGTGGGGTAGAACAGGAGTACTCCATATCAATATTTTTGGCACCGATATGCAAGAAGGCACCGGACATACAAGAGTAGAGACCCAACTCCAGATTCTCAGACAAGTGGGGATGGGGGAAGGATAAAGAGAACCTGAACAAAGCCCGCCTCCCCTCACAAAGTGGATCCTAAGCCACACCGACCCATTTCTAGTCAATAATTCAATCTACTTACATCTTGACTAAGCCCAGAAAATGTCTTCTGAAGGTCTTTAGCAAACTCCAAGTTATGGATCACTTCATCATATTTTTCAACAGCTTCCTGTAATCAGCCACACATTATTATTATTATTCATCATCATGTATAAAGTGCCTAGAATTATGAAGCGCAGATGTTTTAAGAAGACTGTCCTTTAATGTACACAAAGCTTCCAGTAACATCTCAACTTCTGATAGTCATAAGGTGCTAAGACCTGAGGAGCAGTGTGAGCAACAGCCACTATGGCTAAATTATAAGGTGACTTAAACAGAATTTTAATTATGGAGTTTTCTGCCATGTACAGGTTATACAGTTAAAACCAATGATGAATTTTTTAGAAGATACATACAATGAAGGCTGCTATAAATCTGTCATTTTATTATTTTACTACTTACAAAAGCAGCTATAATTTAAAGAATGCTACATTATTATTAATTATTATTATTATTATCCTTATTATCCCGTCTCACACCATGAGGCCCCAAGGCAGGTCACAACAATGTAAAATACAACATTAAAAATAGTTATGCCTCTCTTCTTATACACTCTTCTATCTCTTCTTATATAAAGGACTAGTTGCTCTTCCAGATGATGTTGCAGCAACTCCCATCAACCCCAGCTAGCATGGCTAATAGTCAGGGATGGGGTTCCCTATCAGTGATCTTGAGCAAACTGAGTAGTGCTATGCTAACAATTATCATGTTTACATGTGAAGGACTCAGCTCACTAAACCAGGAAGAAATCACCATCATAAAGCTCACAAATTTATTGCTTAACAACTATGGCTGGAGTGTTTAAGTAGCTATACTTCCCTTCAGCAGTTATTCATAATTCAGGGTTACACCATGGAAAATGGGTTAACAAAGGCCACATCTCCAACTCAAGATGCTCAGTGCTTACCTTGACCACAGATCCGGCAGTTATTTGACCTCTAACAAGCTGTGGCCCAAACTGCATCTATACAATTTGGTAAATGGCAATTAGACAGCACTTCCCCTGCCAAAGCAGTATTATCAAATATCACATGCCATAAGCAGCACTATCTTCTATCTCCATCAAAATGATGGAACCAGTCTGAACACTTGGTGTACCAATAGCCCCTTCGTAGCATCAATTTCCCAACCATTCATCCACTATGGTGTCATGAAGATCATGACATTTAACAACATATGCTCATATACCTTAGAATTCTAATCCAAAAAGTCTACTAGTTGTCAACCAATAAATTGTATTTTGCTGTATCAGAATAATCTGGCAATGGCAGTGGGGAAGGGAGGAGGCAGCAAAGAGAACTATTGAAGAGATTTTGTGTGTAAAGCCCAAGCCATCCTCCGTAAAAGAATAAAAGTTATTGTTTCTCTGCGCAGTATTATATTTTTGTTAATGCTCACACACAATACTCAAACACGTAAAATTCAAAGTTCATGGCTTTCCTGCTGCCTCAGTTCATAATCAATCCTGTATAAGAATGGGAAAATGCAGCATCACAGTTACTATTACTGGAACTTAAAATACCTTTTCTATCCAACCACTGTAAAAAGAGCCAAGAGCCTGAGTCAAAAGGAGCCAACAGCATGAGTCAGGATGAAGATAGATCTACTATTCTCAGCAAAAAAGTTAATTATGTTTGATCATTCTGGAGCAGCTTACAGACCTTAGCTGAGAACAATTTTAAGATTTTAGTAGTTTGCTTTCCTATCTATTTTCTACATACTTTCCCGGCCATGTTTGGCCCAGAGGACTGCTTAAAGGTAGGTCCTGTAGCTCTATTCCCATAGCTTCAATAGGGCCTAGACACGACACAAGACCTCAGCTTGACTGGCACCACTGAAATCAATGTGCAATAACTCTTTGTTAAGATTTAGGTCAATGTATTTTGCCTAGGCATGAAGGAGCATCTCAGAAGTCTGTCATGAGCTGCTGAATTCATTGCTGCAAATGTTTGCAGCAATCTGAGATACAAGAACAGAAAGCTTACCAACTGATCCTGATTGAGGGGTTCCCCCTTTTTCAGACGATCTCTGTAGTCTTCTAGTTTGAGCTGAAAACATGTATTGAGCAGGTACAGGATTAGACCATGTATAACCAACTTATTCAAGTCTGGCCTATGATTAAAGTCTGAATAACATGGATGCCTACACATGCTACCATGCATTTATAGCATTAAATACAATAAAATGCACATCAAAACAACAATAAAGTAGACCTCTTTGGCAGACATTTAACATTAGATTTTCGCAGTTAGTTTAAGCAAGAGGTACACTATATATTCATATGAATGGCGAAGGTTGCTGTAGCTCAGGGACAAGTTCTATAAAGGTGATGGCAATACAGAGTTTCAATGCACAAGAATTTTATAATATTGGAACCACTGTCAAGATAGTACCACTGGCAATATATCTAGTTACAGTTGCATAAGGTGAATGTTAGGTTCATAACAGCCTTTCTATGACATTCAAGCTCTGATAACTACTGCAGCTGGATGGCAAAGCCACCTTCCTGCTGGATTAGGTAAGGTAAAGGTACCCCTGCCCGTACGGGCCAGTCGTGACCGACTCTAGGGTTGTGCGCTCATCTCACTCAAGAGGCCGGGAGCCGGCGCCGTCCGAAGACACTTCCGGGTCACGTGGCCAGTGTGACAAAGCTGCACTGGTGAGCCAGCACCAGTGCCGCACACGGAAACGCCGTTTACCTTCCCGCTATAAAGTGGTCCCTATTTATCTACTTGCATTTAGGGGAGCTTTCGAACTGCTAGGTGGGCAAAAGCTGGGACCGAACAACGGGAGCTCACCCCGCCACGGGGATTCGAACCGCCGACCATACAATCAGCAAGTCCTAGGCACTGAGGTTTTACCCACAGCACCACCCGCGTCCCACCTGCTGGATTAAGACTGGCTAATTAAGCATGAAACTACTACTAGTCATGTAGGTTTCTTTATATACTTCCATTAGCACCTTAGAAACCAGGTAAGTTTGTTATTGGTATGAGCTTTCGTGTGCATGCGCAATTCTTCAGAGTGTGCATGCACACGAAAGCTCATATCAATAACAAACTTAGTTGGTCGCCCAGGTGCTAGTGAAAGGAATTTTTTTTATTTTGTTTTGACTACGGCAGACAAACACGGCTACCTACCTGTAACTATCTTTATATACTGACAGCAGTGACAGACTGCATCAAAATTCAGTAGGCAGTTTAATTTTGGCATGCACTCTACACTACACACAAAGCAGCATCCAACCTTTAGGACTTAGTGGGCTAGTTTGGAAGGCAGAATACCACACTGGCAAAATTGTAATTGAAAAGTGCAAGTAAAAGATGTGGGATTTTGCCATTGTAGCCACACAGGGAACACATGAACCTAAAACTTGTTCTCATCATAGTAACAATAGTTTCTCATGCCACCTGAACCAACTCAATACTGACGGCTCATGCAAATTACATGCCACAGCAGAAAGTTCTTATTTCTCTCTAGTCATAAACTCTAGCCATTATATTTTATTAATCTAATTTTGAAGGCTGGCAAGTTATCTTAAGTGAAATCAATTTAGTTACACAGCGTTTCACACTTCCATAAACAAATATGGGCCTTTCACCTCAAAGAGCTTACAGTCCAATAGACAATGGCAAGAAAGAGTGAATGAACAAACACAGCAGTTTCCTTTGGTACCATTTCTCTAATCTAGGAGAGATACATACCTTCTTTTTCTCAATGTTCCTGATCTTGTGTTTCATGCAGATAAGTCCATTATCAATGTAAGTCTCATACGCCTGGGAAGCCGTTGCAGCAGAACTCAAAGCTGCCTGCAGGGGGCTCAAAGGAGGCTGATTGTCCCCATGAGGGCCCTGAGTCACCTGCTGCTTGGCGGGTTTCATGCTCTTCTCCTCTGCTTCCTCAGAGTGGCATGAAGGCGAAGTGTGGCAAAGCGGGGACTGTGAAAGCTGCACCATTGAAACAGCTAGGGCTGCAAAGAAACTGGTACTGTTTAGCTTTTCCCTCACAGCTGCAACTTCAGCATCCAGTTACTATTAAGTTTCTCATCTACACAGTGAGCATCGAATGTGCCTTTTGTGGAACATGTACCATTAGGGAACAGGAGAGGCATCCAGAAACCACTATTTCTCTGTTCAGATAACCTTACAATTGAGAGCACTTTAACATCCTCAACCATAATCTATTCTAGATGGGGGCGGGGACTGTTTTAAACAGCTGCAGACCTACCAGCATTTGGATCAATAAGATTCCTGAAGAAGGGGAGTCTCTCCCTTCTTTCCCTTATTCCCTATTCCAGTAAGATGCCAGCTAATACTAATCACCATCCTAAACTCTTTGCATGCATGTACCAACTAGAAAATCAAATCTATATGCCACTTTCCTAAACAAGCAAGCAAACAAACAAACAAACCAACAAACCTACTGGAGGCTTTAGCCCTCCCCACCTGCACTAGAAACAGGGTCACAAATAAGGCATCAGCAATTCCTCACGCTGGAGACAGAAGCTAGCAGAAGCTAAATGTCTTTTCAGGAAGAACACAAGACTTTCATTATGTATTTCTAATTGGTTAATTCACCTATGTACCGGCAGAAAAAAATTACTTCCAGAGGGGAAGCCCTGTGGGTCAGTTGCAGTGTGTGTGGGGGGGGGGGAGTTCACACCTGCATCAAACACAATTTGAGAAAGATGCTAGGTTACCCATTACGAACAAATTGGCAGTTGGGAAGCAGGTGAGCAAGACATTTCCTCATTCCTTACTGAAAATGCAAGGGCAGTCGAGCGCTTAAGGTTAAAAGAAACCCAGCCATGTCGAGGCACTCTGCTTAAGTCGTCCTTCGTCAGAAGATTCGAGGGCATCACACAGAGCAGCGAATGAAACAATTTGGCGGCACGTCGCCGTTCTGTTCGAAGCCCGTCTCGCTACTTTCAGTGAGGGGCGAATGATATTGCAGCCGCCCCCCAGCACGCTCACTAGGGCAATTAATACCACATTCACACGTGCGCTTATTCCCAGGCAAGCAAGTGCGCGCAGGACCGAGGCCTCAAAGCTCCCTCCCCTGAAAGGGCGTCCAGAGAACAAGGCGCAGCTTGCCTGGCAGGGAAGGGGAGCAAGCAGGGCGGCGACGCGGCGACACAACCTGCACCACTGGAGGGGTTTTGTGCGGCGTTTTGTTCCACGAGAGGAAAAACACCGGGGAATTCTGTCCGCTGTCGGGAAGGGAGGGTGGGAAAAGAGGAGGCTGTAATTATGGGCTACATCCAACTATGGATAAAAGGAGGGGGTAATAAGTGACGTCGAGTTATCTTCTCCGCTCACGGAGGCGCGAGTCGCTCCTTCCCTTCCCCACGGCGTTCCCGACCACAAACGCCACCAGCCCCCGGGATACGCCGCCCCATGTACTGCCTTCCTTTCCCTCACACCGCCGCCTCACACACGCGGAGGCGGCGGCATCTGTTTCCGTGCCGCACGAGCAACCGCTGCCTCCCACCCGCCGCACCCCGCCCTTCGCCAACTCACCTCAGCAGCCTAAACTCGCTCAAGCCCACCCGCCGGCCGGCTGGCCTCCCGGCTTATAAACCCGCCCCGGCAGCGGGGAGATAAGGGGGCGGAGCCTCCGCGGAAAAGTCACACGCCGGCTTCCCAATCGCCAGCCGGCCACAAGCCGCCCAATCAGCCGCCGCGGCAACCGCGTGGCCTACTGCCGCTCGCGCGTTCGGCCCCGCCCCCGCGTGACATGCCGGACCGTTAACTGGTGAGGAGAAAAGAAGGTTGTGAGGTGTCCGGGCGTCCTCAAGGAAGGTGGTGTGTTTGTATGTCTCGGTCAAAGGTTCCAGTCCTGACCAGGATGATCTACACGTTCAGACACACACACTCACATACAGTCCCCTCCCATACGGTGTTTTAAAAGCATCAAGCAGCACTCCAGACCACTTTAAGATGCACTAAGATCACTGAAACCATATGTCTATTACGGTTCCTTTAAAAAAAACAAACCCCAAACCAGATCAAAGTGATTTGGTGTCTGGGTTGGTTGGTTGGTTGGTTGGTTGGTTCCACCCCGGCCCAGTCGATCAGACATATTTGCAATGCGTGCACTATATAGCACACGCATTCATGTATACACAAACACTATAGATAAATATGCACAGAGAGAGAGACAGAGACATAAATGCACAGATAAAGATGAAAGCAGCAGGCAAAACTGGTGCTTTAACTAAGGAATGCCACAAAGTGGTGAGCAAGCTTTGAAGTTTCACATTGGGACTCCTCTGTGTAGTCTGAATTCTAAACAGAGATACACACCTGCTGGGGAGGTGCTGCCTAAGGGAGGGGGGGAAAACTCCAGCCTGCAATTTGGAAGATGGAGCGGAGGTGTTATGCAAACTCAGGATGTTTGTCTACTCCGAAGGAGGTTCCGCTGAGATGCTCTTAGGTAGGTAGATGCTGGGCTGCAGGGAAGATAGCATTTTAAAAACAAAGCATAACACAAACAGCAGTAGTAGCACAAAGCAACAGATGTTGAGGTTGAGTGGCCAGCTGTCATGTTGAGATTTCTGCCTTCCAACTCTACAATTCTATTATTCTATGTAGCACATTTCTGGGATTAAGTCCCAGTTAGGTTACAGAACTTGCTTCTGAGTAGACAGGCACAATAAATTGAATTAGAACATGCTGCACTTCTTTTTAAAAACAGTTGACAGTTTTAAAGGCTGAGGCTTTTCCAATGCATTCAGTAGGAACTTCCCCCTCCTGTCCCCCCCCCCGGTTTTATTTCATTGATGTTGTTGTAGGTAAGATATAATGCTGCTAATGCTTTTTTTTAGTATTAGCCTTAGCAATGCACGTAGTTTATTGACAGCTCCCATAATTCTTTGGGAGAAGCCATGAATGGTTAAAGTGGTATCATAATGCTTTAAATGTATTGTGTGAATGTGCCCTAAGTCTTTTTACGAACAGCAGACATTTTATTGTTTTGGATAAGAGCGGCAAGCTTGAATGCAATACCAATGACATTGATCAGGTTAAAATGACTGTACATTTATTTTCTGTATCATACATGAATAAAGTTATAACTGTTGTTTTCAAAGCTTTATATTATAGAGAACCCTCTGCTGACTTGCATGCATACCATCCTTAATAAGCGGTAGACAAATTGCTAATTTGTATGGACGGTCACTTTTAATACTGGCAGCTTTTAGGAACAGTTTGACCTCTGAATAGTTATCACCATTATGTTGAATATTCAGGTCTAAAATAATGTAAGAAGTCGATGTCATTTAAATATGAAGAGCCACACATTAACAAACAGGTAACCCTGTTCCAACAAATGGACTACCCTTGGAAAACAGTGGATCCATTGTTGCAACTGCAGAAGCACACAGTGGTGCCATTAGGGCAGGGCTTTGTGGGCAGATGTCCAGGGTCCCATTCAGCTGGAAGAAGAAGAAGAAGAAGAAGAAGAAGAAGAAGAAGAAGAGGAGTTTGGATTTGATATCCCGCCTTTCACTCCCTTTAAGGAGTCTCAAAGCGGCTAACATTCTCCTTTCCCTTCCTCCCCCACAACAAACACTCTGTGAGGTGAGTGGGGCTGAGAGACTTCAAAGAAGTGTGACTGGCCCAAGGCCACCCAGCAGCTGCATGTGGAGGAGCGGAGACGCGAACCCGGTTCCCCAGATTACGAGACTACCGCTCTTAACCACTACACCATACTGGCCATACTCACCATACTACATCATACTGCTCTAAGAGCAGAACAGCACTTCAGTGCAACTGGGCTGGCTTACAACATTTTGAAGTAGAATCACAGAATCATAAAGTACCTCAAAGGTCATCTAGTCCAACCCTCTGCTGAGGCAAGTAAAACATTTCTATCTAAAGTAGCCTTTGCCAAACTGGTGCTCTCGAGATGTTGCTAAATTATGTCTCCCATCAGCAAAGCTCACTAGTGACTTTGAGCCAGTCACTCTCTCTCTCTCAGCCAACCTACCTCACAGGGTTGTTGTGAGGATAAAATGGAGCGGTGATGAAGTGTGTATGCCACCTTGAGCTCTTTGGAGAAAAGCTGGGATACAAATGTAATAATAATAAAAAGGATGGGGGGTGCCAACTTAATGCCCATGGGTGCTATGCCACTCATGAAACACTTGAGGGGCCTCAAATTCTAAGGTTTCATTAGAAAAAAGTAAACCGATATCTCTCCTAGAAAGTAAGTTATGAAGCAAAATGTACTGGTACTCTCCTGAGTGATTTCTGTGAAATGAGCTAGGCTGACTGCTCTCACCTGTCAGGGTTTTTAGCCAATGAGCAAAGCCAGCTGAGATTGATACATGAGTTGTTAGAACACCAGGCAATAGGAATCCCTGGGTGTGGCTGTAGTCCTTTCCACTTTAGAGCACTTTTCCTTTTTCTGCTTTGTTTTATAGTAATCCTTGGAATCTCTGTGGTTTGGCTTTTCATCTTTCCTTAGCAACCAAAATGCATCTTTCCTGTGGTGGGTTCACTGGATATCAGGTAGTTCCTGGAAGTTTTGTTCTGCAAATACTACTGCTCAATAAACATGAGTGGATGTTAAGGAATTGCCCCCAACTCCCATAAGACAAATGTGAAAACTTTCCAGAGGCTTAGCCATGTTTATTGCTGTGTAGGAGCTAAAGACCAGACACTCAGTAAGAATTTACTGTATAGTTAACTTACAGTACAATTGTATGCATGTATACTGATGCAGATTAGCTTTTGAATTAGGACTGGCTTTGGTGAAAATCAGGGTTCTTGTACCTTTAACAGCTGTATGGCTGGCAGAAATTCAACAGGTTAAGACTTTTTTAAGTATAGGAGCATAGTATGGGAAAAGCTTAACCATGACTGTGCTGTCTCTAATTTTTTGTTATGCTGTGCCTCCCATGGCATTCCCTAAAAAATAAAAATGTGTGCACTGGGTCCCAAAAGCCTAGTGACCCCCGATATAGGATCATCAGATTTGCCCGCTGCCTGACATGGTACACCACTTCGATAGCTTCATTCAGCTACATGTGTAAATCAGACTTAAGCAAAAGTGCAGGTTTTTACCACCCTCCCAAGCTGAAGCCTTAATAAAGCCATATATTTTTGTTCTCTAGGGTTCAAATAAATTTTAAAAGATTTATCTATTACACAACCTGAGAAGGAGAATTCTAATGTACAGTGGTACCTCAGGTTAAGTACTTAATTCGTTCCGGAGGTCCGTACTTAACCTGAAACTGTTCTTAACCTGAAGCACCACTTTAGCTAATGGGGCCTCCTGCTGCTGTTGCGCCGCTGGAGCACGATTTCTGTTCTTATCCTGAAGCAAAGTTCTTAACCTGAAGCACTATTTCTGGGTTAGCGGAGTCTGTAACCTGAAGCGTATATAACCTGAAGAGTATGTAACCCGAAGTACCACTGTATTCTACACTGATATACTCCTGGGGTAAATGTTAGGAAACTGTAATGTGACCAATACAGCTTTATGGAATGGGCAATCAGCTTTATGGAATTGGTAATACAGAGTTTGAGGCTTATGACGTCTATTGTTAAACTAAGGCTTTGAACTGAATTTGGTGGCTGAAGATTCTCTGAAAGATTCTTCTTTGAAGAGTTATGTTCTGCATCACATTTCAATGATCTTAATGAACCGTGTCATTCATATTTGTTTTAGAGCAGTTTTGCCCTGCACCCCTAAAATGACCTAAACCACAAAACACGGCTTTCCTTCCTAAAAAAAGCTCAACAACTTCTTTGAACTGAACCCCCCAGAAGGGAGTTTTAAACTCTGTGAGTATATCGCAGTCTCTTGGATGTTGGCCACTCCTGCCTTAGATCATTGGGAAAGCTCTTTACTTGATTCCTTTCAATTTCAGCACAAAGTCAAACGTCACCTTTGAGCATTTCTTTGCAAAGAATAAACTCAGAAATTAAATTCAGTTCAGCCCTTCCTGGGCTTACGTTTAACACTCCTTGGTTTTATCAAAGAATTGTATTTCCAGTTTTAAGTTCTACAGTCCCAATACAAATAGAAATAAATACTACATGTTGCTTTATGAATGAAATATTAGAGGGCAGAGTTGGCAGCAGGAATGAGGGTATGACGTGGATGTGCCAACATAGTAAGAAAGTTGTCCTGCATGCACAATGTTTGTAGGTGCTTTTGTGACCATTTCCTATTTTGCTCTATAATGGAGGCCTGCCAAAATGGAATGCTGCTGTGTTCGCAAAACTGTCCAGCAGCCACTTACTTGGAACAAAAGTGACAGAGGCCTGTATTGTCAGGAGCACAAAGAACAGCTCTTACATCATTGCAGAGCTTTCCAAGAGGAATTAGAAAATGCAACCATGAGTGTCCCCTTGCTAATCTTTGCCTTTGCCTTACGAAAGTTCCTGCTGCCAATCATGTCCATGCCAGCCCAGCATCTCCAACTGGACGCATGAGGCCTTGGTTCTCACTTGGCATCTCATTACATGGGAAGATCTTGTCAGCATCGCCCTTGAGCCAGTGCCACCAACTGGAATCATCCACTTCAGCCCTGACTGGGCTAGGCGAGCTGGGTAGCACTTCCAGAGACCACCTTCTGCTCAGGAACAGGTCAAAGTGCTGTGGACTCACAGCTTAGAGTTGTGAGCACCGGATTCACTTCCACAAGAAGACAGTCGTCGCACAGCAGAGTACAGCAGACTCTAGCAGAGTATATAAACAACTCGGAGAGCAGTTCTGTAGAATATCTTCTTTATTCTATAACTACAACTATACAAACTATATACAGAGCTTAATAGGTCTAAGCATAAATAAATGCTGCACTGCACTGAGTGTCTGCAGCTGCTCTTAGCAGCAACCTTATCTCTACACACGATCTCTAAAACTCAGTCTCTCTCTCTCTCTCCGACACTGACTGACTGACTGACTCGGTGCTGGAGCAGAATAGGTAGAGAGCAGAACATGCCTCCTCCTCTCTGGAGAATCAGCAGACTCCTCAGGAGATTCTTGGATATGGGAGGGGTGAAATCTCCTCATCCTCCCCCATTTCATCCAACCATTTCAAGAATCTTTAACATAACTGCAATTTATACACACACTCCAAAAGTTGTTCTCTGCTTACAACCTTGGTTAACACATTTGCATGTATCTCTCTCCCCCTTTATCTAAGACACTTTAACACATCATTAAACAGTTACTGCAATCACTCTGTGTCTATCAGGAAAGAGTTAAATCATAAACCTCAATCTGTAGTACACACAAAATGCACATTGTGAATACTCAAATGAATAAGCAGCTTCTAGAAAATTCTTCATATGCGTTTCTTCTTCTCAGATGCAAATTTACATTACTCATTTAGGCAGATTTGAACAAACCACTTTCAGTACTCAAACACACGCTTGCTCCTTCAATCCTGATCCTTTAAACATATTATACATGAACCACTTTAGGTCAGGTAAGGAAATAAATAAAGCGTTTTGTACTATTAACTCTCAGTACACTTCATGCCTGGTTTAAAAACCCCACCAGAGTTGCTCGTGACCGCAGCCTTTGCAAACTCTTCAGAAAACCTTTTTGGTGGTACACCCTTGGTTGTTCTCTCGGATCTGCGCAAAACTTTCTGATCCTCTTGTTCTGGTGCTTCCTCCTCTTTGGGAGAATGGGGAGCTAAAGTATATGAAGCTGCTAAGTC